AAATCAGTTTCAGCAGAATGCAGAAAAATAAAATTCACAGTTTCTGGTAGGTCATCGTGATTATGAACTCATTGTACAGATTTGTTGGGATGGTAGTGCGGTCTAGGAATGAGGTACTGAGATAACAGGAAAGGACCGCTTTTGCCAGTCTGTAGGAAATTTTGTTCATTTCTGTACAATGAATTTCTCAAAAATATAGCAAAAAGGTCTGTTATATCTTTATCCAGAATTTTGGAAAGGCAATTGCAGTTGTCATCTGAGGTAAAAAAAAAGTTGGGTTTTCTCTTATTAACAATTCATACAAATTTTCCCCTGTTGAAGTTGATTATTTTAATTTTTATTCCGAGGAACCTTTATTGAAACCCACCTGTCCAATATTTTGAAAAGACATTCCATAACAACCATAGGTGCTTTATCATGGGCTCTTGGTTTCATTTTGGAAAAAAGCATTAAGTTTTTGAATGCCTGCTGTATAAAGTCATTCAAACAAAACTTTTGTGAGTCTGTAAAAATTTCATGAAACTTTCCTATAGTCTTCAGACCATTCAGTGTAAATTTTGCAATCTTCAAAAAATTTGATAGAAATTTGCTTGTCCAGCAAAGGCCCAAAAAGGTTGGGGAACACTGATGTACATTATGTTCAGGTTATGTAATATTGGCTTGACCTTATGTCAAGTTTTTTTCTGCAATCTGTATCATGAGGATATGTTCAACAGAGAAAATGATGACTTGTTTCCATTATAGGTGACCAACCATTTGCTGCAAAAACTCTACAGAGATCCATATGGCCATGACTTGATGTCAACCAACATTCAAAGAGGCAGAGATCATGGACTCACTGGTTATGTCAACTACAGGTACAAACTCTGTGGCTTGTCCCTCATCAAGACCTGGGATGACATGGTCAACATGGGTTACATGAGGAACTACACTGTTGCCAAGCTGGCCCAAATCTACAGGTGAGAGGGTATATACCAACATGCCGTTCCCAAGGCAATGCCAATGACATTGCCCCAATGTCTATATGACAGCATTATAAAACAAAAAATAATTTTCCCATTCAACTGCAGCTGCTATCTACTTTCTCATTTTGCCTTCTTTGTTCTGTTTTCTTTCCTGTTTCTTCTTCACTTCATCTGCATTCTTTTGTTCACAATATTCTTTGTAGCTTTTGTTTCCCTTGTTTTGAATTGGTTCTTTGGATACTGGGTTTCAAACTGAGGCAATCTGAGTGAGAGTCAGTCACCTTCACATCTAGCTATGCACTCACAAGCTAGGTCCAATGCAAAAATAGTTATGCTACTTGTACTAAAATGAAGTATATTCATATTCCTTCAGAAAATCAGGGGTTGGAATATTTTTGAGGTGAAAAAGGAGTTCATGAATTCATTGTCTATGTTAAAAACCTCACAAAATTTTTAATCATTAAAAAAGTACAGCTTTTTATACGTTCCGGGAATAATTATAGATATATATTTATCTTAAAAACTATTCTGCTGATAGATGAACATTTCCAGCAAAGTTCAATTAGTGAAACGACATTCTTTACGTCGTGGTTTGAACAAGAACACCGACCTAATTCGAAACTTCTTTATAATGATAACTTTGTACTTCGTCATAAAAACTTACAGGAAGATAGAAGTAATCGTTTTCAATTACAGATCTTCAAAGTTTGACAAGCCTTGTATAGGTATAGCTTTATTTTTCAACAATACTCTTATCAATTCCTCAGAGCTGAAACCAAGATAACCACAATGTTTGATTGGAAATCACATTTCACTGTGATGATCAAGCAAATATAACATTAATAATTTGTGCAACTTTTCCAGAACATTTGGATAATGTCATGGCAGGGTATGTTCAATGTCATTTTGTCAACAACACCTGTTTTTCAAACATTGTGGCATTTGCAATGCCTTGAACTTGTGTTGCACCAATGCCCAATAACAAGGGTGTTGGCTGCAATTATCACCATTCTTAAATGGCGCTGCCATATATGGTGTTGGAAATGCTGCTATTGCCACAATGTCTGCCTGCCCAATGCCCCCATTCTTTGCTTAATAGTAAATATACAGATGGAAACATATCTTGTATTTTGAATCCAAAAATTGCCTCCAAAGTATATGAAAATGTTTATCCAAATATGATTGATGTTGAAAATGTTGCTGCATGACATTGAATCAAGTGTATGTGAGTATGAAATACAGTAATTATGTTTTCTTCTCACACACTTTGAAAACAGGACCCCATATGATGTTGACCTTATTATTGGTGGGTTGGCTGAACGGCCAGTCAAGGGTGGCTGGGTTGGACCCACCCTCTCTTGCATTATTGCCAGGCAGTTCAGGAATCTCATTGTTGGTGACAGACACTGGTTTGAGCACCCAGGAATGCCTTCATCCTTCACCAAGGGTAATTCCCTAATTCCATTCAATAAAACAAGACATTTGAGCCTCTTTTAAAATTGAATAATCTTCAAGGTATAAAAACAAAAACTGAGTTACTTTGTGGGAAAAAGCACTTTGGCAAGGGAATGAGGAAGAAGAAATTCAGAAAATTGTAGTTGAATGATGGTGATATTATGTGGGCCATTTGAATTTCATTTTAAATAAGTTGAAATGATTTTTAACTTGGACAGGTATGGGTTTAATTTGCTCATAATTGGTCTTTTACTTCCTTATTCAGAGCACATCATTGCATTTTTATTGCTTTTCTCTTTTCTGTGTCAATAAAATAATTGCACAAATTTCTCAAGAAAGTTCTAGGTTTGAAGGGGAAAGTCTTATTGGATGAGTTATATTTTTGTAGATTCTAAGAAAATTTAGACAGGGACTCTTGACATGGAAAAACATTTGACATGGATATGAGGGACAGTAATGACTGTAAAAGAGTTGAGTACTCAAGATTCACCTGGACCATTTCTGGAATGAAATGTGCCTCAAATAATTGTATGTATCATTATTTCCTATACCAGCTCAACTCAAGGCCATCAAATACACCAGTGCAGCTGGGTTGTTGTGCGAAGTCCTTGGTCTCAAGGCACTTCAGCCCCTTGTGATGCATTTGCCTGGATATCAAGGGTAAGAGACAAATTTTACAGGCAAAAATTGAATATACAGTCAACCCCCATCTAACGGACTTTTCATGCTTCGATGTAACTGCCAGGAAGACGCGTATTGGTATGATTCAGTGACAAAAGAGCTGCATCAAGGATAATGAAATCATAAAGCACTGGCATACTGAACACCCTACTCTCGCATCATCATTTTACATAAAAAATTAAAAGTTTCAATTTTCAACACTAATTTTAAACCAAAAGAAGTCTGTTTGGCGGATTTTGTCTGTTGGGCAGGAGGAAAAACTGCTTGCAGAGCTGGTCTGTTTGGCAAATATCCCTTACACTGGAGGTCTGTTAGGCAGGGGGCCACTGTACAGTCAACCCTTGGTTAACGTTCCATTTGCTGAACATTAATCACTTAACATTCCTGGTCCTGTGAGAAAAATCCCCTCGCTTAACATTCCAAAATCCACTTAACGTTCTGCAGTTGTGCGGCACCAGGTGATCAATGTGGATGCCTCCCTCCCTCCCTCCTGTACATTTTCTTGAATGTGACTTTTTCCACCGCTTTAAATGTGTTTCCTGTGTGGTGGTGTGGTGTTAAAATTATTTTATGAACAATTGCAGTGTCACACACTGAATTTTGGGTAACACTCAGACCTTTCCTTGTTTAAAATGAATCTCTGATTTTAATTGAGTGAAGAACAGTGGTTAATTTTTGAATGTAATTGCAGTGCATAAAGCTCAGTTGTTGGAATACACTCTTTGATTAATTTTTTTCTGAATTTTACCTTTAGAAAATTTTGCCTGACACCAATTAAGCGTTTCTCCCTTATATCTTAAGGGAGAGACTACCTTGCTTAATGTGTTTTTCAGCTAACGTTTTTTCCCACTGCACCAACTAAAAACTTTAAGCAAGGGTTGACTGTACATGATATGTGTCATGTGTATGACTTTAATGAATGAATGTGTGATTCCAGAAACCAGATTACCTCTTGCAAAAACTTGCCAACACTGAACCTGCTACCTTGGAAGGAAGTTGATCCTTACCATTCAGCTCCTCAGGATGTTCTGTATGGCTCTGGTAACCACCACTCTGGTTATAACAGTGGGGACTATGGATATGGCCACCTTGCTGACACCTACAGCACTGGAGACACTTACAGCACTGGGAATTCTGGTTACATCAATCCAGGATATTAATGCAATCAAATTTTATAATGTTGGGTGAATTCAGGGATGTTCAGGTAGAACATCAAATTGACAGCCACAATGTTGTGAAACCATGTCACGTTTAACACAATGACAAGAAGTAAACCTCTTCCTCAACAAACTCACTTTGTATCTTGTCTCAAAAAAAAAGAAGCATCCATTCTTGTTTTCCATTCCCTGTACAACAGCAATTCCTATTTTTCCATGTACTGGAAGACATTGCTGAAGTAAATTGCGGAAACATTGACAGGTGTACGCTATTATAATGTTGTCATTCTTTGAAAATGCCAAGAAATAAACATCTTCTTCAAAAAGTAAGATTGGTTATTTCTCCTGAAGCTTACACTGAAGTATTACCAGAGATTTGCTGCACAACTCTTCCTCCAGGGAACTCCAAAATGAAATTACTGTATATATAAAAATTATTCACACAAATGAAGCAAAGTAAATTCATGCTAAAATGGTGATGTTAAGATTTTCAATCCTGGAATTTCTCCACTATTGTGAAATCTTTTTAGTGAGGTGACAAAAGGAAAAAAGGATTTATTGCTTATATGAAGAAAGACTGAGTTTTAAAATGTAAATTCTATGCCAAAGGCAAAACAACATGAGGTCAAATGAGCTGTTGTATATATATACACATTGCTGAACATTTATAATGACAGGGTTTACTTTTCCAGAGAGAGCATTGTGTTGCCCCAACAAAGCCCAGTATAATTATATATGAGGCTCAGAGTTTGTTGCAGTGCTGTGTTTGCTTATCCAGAGTGTGTCAGTGTGATTACCACTTTGAAAATATTTACTAAATCTGAATAAAGAATTGAGAAAATTTGTCTGTAAGTTCCCATTATTTTTGGAGTCTCTTGTAAATGTTTCTTCATTTAACATAATTCAAATTATGATTACTAATTCAGCATAATAATTGCATTCCTTTTGTTGTCGCTGGGATCCTCCTTTTTTTCTGCTGTATATAGGAATAGAAAATGATTCTTTTGAAAAATATATTCAAGCAGCTTCATCACCATGTGAGGCAAATATTATCATCTTTAAGAAATATCCATGTTCATCACATGTTCTGATTTTTTTTTCATTTTGAATATAAATAGTGATTATTAATTTTGGATAATAATAGAAACATTTTTGCTGAAATGTTCAATTTTTTTCTGCTGCTGAAATAGGAAAGGATGGGTTTGAAAATTTCAAGCTTCAACATATGGGTGAGGCTAATGTTATCATCTCTATTATACACACAAGTTATCACCTGTTCTGATTTTTTTAGAATTATATACCGCTTTCTTTTGGTATCATCAGGTTGCCTCCCCACCCCAACATGATGCGGGAAGTTAATTATATATATACCCATCACCAGCATCACAGTGAAATTTGAAATTTAAAAAAATAAAAGGAAGGTGCGCATATATTAGTGTGGATTGCACAGCATCGATTTTATTGCTGCCTTTGCACCTGCTGCTGCTGTTCACCAAAGCTTTACTCATCACCTGGTGTTCAAACAATGTCCTGCCAAATGAGGGGAACACCCAAAAGCATCACACATCACACACTTGAAGTATACATTTGCATGGAATTACATTATCTTTTCATTTCAGTATATACATGAAGTCCAACTTAAATACTGTACATTTCTAGAAAAAAGCAAGTACTGTATGACGCTTTCAATTTATGCCTGAATGGAATACAATAAAGGCAAGACTTTTGCAAGTTTCTTTCAAGTGATGAATGGAAGGTGAAGTTTTATTCCCTCACTATAGCTGAGATTCTGTGCACTTCAATCCTCCTCATTCCAATTCAATGATAATATCAACTGAATGAAAGGTCATGACTTATATGGACCCCCTTCAATAAAAGTTTGTGGATGCCCCATGAATATTTTCCTGCTGATGGTGATTTAAAACCGTGCCACAGGGATGATGCTGTTTAAAGCCCACTCTGAAACACCAGGAGGCATGAGAACAGAACACAACTGCACCTTGTGCTGGAGTGACTTTTAACATGGTGGGGAAAATATTCAAAAAATCAAGAAAATTGTCAGATTTCTCCATAAACTCTCTGCTTTCTAATGCTGCTTATGCTGGTGAAGTGCAGTCACTCAGTGAGAAAGTCAAAGATGGAAGCAGCAATTGGAAATTATTCAAGTGTGTGGATGTCAAGTGCAGCTATGTGACTGACAGGAGAAACAACCTACAGCGCCATCTGGATGCAATGCACTCAACACTCTCAGGTTACTCATGAAGTCTTTCCTAAAAAAAAAACCATTCCTAAAATACCAATGAAGTGGAAAATGAAGAAAGTCATACAGTCAACCCCCGTCTAATGAACTTGATTTGTGCAAGGGACAAGTCTGTTAGACAAAAAGTCCTTTCCACAAATTCAATTGCATAAAAAATTAAAAATTTCAATTTTCAACACTTTTGTCTGTTGGGCAGGAGGAAAAACTGCTTGCAGAGCTGGTCTGTTTGGCTAAAATCCCTTGCATGGGAGGTCTGTTAGGCGGGAGCCACTGTACTTGAGCAAATATATTTGTCAAAAGCACACAAAACCAAGATTTTGTTGTTGTTGTTGAAAAATGCACTTCTCAGGAAAAAAGCAAACCTTATTAAACTTTCTTTTACTTATCAAAATTTGAGGAAAATTGTATTTTGCATATTCAGATTTTATCTAGAAGAAATCAAATCTTCATGTTTCTTTTTTTCAACTCATGCTTAATTGGATATATATATAGCAGCCATATTTTGATTCTTATATTTTAATTTTCCCCAGAACCTTTTGAATGCTGTCTAGAAATATTCACCAGCAAATCAGACTTGAGGTTGCACAACAAAACCTGTCATGCTCAAGGATACAAGTGTCCATTGTGTCCTGAAAGTGAGCAGAGGCCTTTCAGCAGGAAAGCTTTGCTTGACAGACACAAGGTGGCAGTTCACAGCAATGCCAGGCTTTACCAGTGTCCACAGTGCAGTTATGCCACATCACACAAGTTCAACTTCCTCAGGCACTTGAAAATCCCACATGCCAAATTGAACAGGTTTGTCAATAATTGGAAAAAATGCATATATGCATATCCTCATATATTGACTAATTTTACTATTTGTTATTCAATTGCAGGCGGATTGAAGGGAAAAATGTAACCCAATCATTTGGAATCTGGATGACAGCTTTCAACAAGATGGCAACTGTCAAGTTCAAATCTTCAAGCTTCTGATGTAACTAAAACCATTTTGTGAATACCTGTTATTGATGTGTGTGTGGTTTTTTTCCTATAAATAATAAATGAGGAACTTGATCTTTTCATATTTATCACAGGTTGTTGCCTTTAATTTCATTTTGAGATGAGTAGAAACTGTGGCTCATAGATGGCAGGGTTGTTGGTGATCTGCTTCTCCTTTGAACTTCTGATGCTGCTGCCATTTCTGAAGCATTACAAAATTATTTAAATTTGTCCAATATACAATGCAAATAAATTAATGGTTCTCACCATCATGCTGATGATGAATAAAACCAGGGTCAGCAGTTTCATTGTGCAAGGTCACTTCAGGTGTTGGGTTGTATCTGACATGATACTGCTGATGGTAAGGGAAGTCAGTTGCAACAGACAATGAGAGGCTGTTCAGACCACCAGATGGCGCTGAGAGCTGAGCAACAGGAGTCATCATCCCAGTGATGCTTCTTGATTGCTCTGCAAAGTTTCTCCAATGGTTCACATCCCTTTTCCAATGCAAAGCCAGGACACAGGAATACATGGCAGTGAAGGCTATGCAAGCAACTATAGATAAAAAATTAAAGGATGAGGTCAATTTTGAAAGAAATAATTAGTTATTCTATTTCATATGATTGAAAGCAATAATTACAGTGGTTACTCATTGTACAAGCACTTTGCTCTGCAAATGTTCTGTAGAACCAATAGTGACAGTGAAAGTTCTCACCCTTCAAAACTAAACTATAAGTTCATATGAAGCGGTGTTCCATATATTGTGGACCGATTGGTCCCTGGACAGATGTTGGTCCACAGAAACTTTTTGCCTGTCCATGGAAATTTTCTTCAGCATAATAATGAATTCATGAAAAGTTGCAAGAAAGTCTGTGATATTTATCTGAAATTTTGGAAAGACATTGGCAGTTGAAATTATCTGATGAAAAATAAAAGTTGACTTTTCTCCAAATAACACGAGAGAGAAATTTTTGCTGTTCTGAAAACAATCCAAGTCCACCTTTCTAATTTTTTAAATTGAAAAAAGCAGGAAAAATTTCAAATACCTTCCCTTTTCATGAAGTCCTCTCCAAGTTACACTTTTTTGAGTCTGCAATAATTATATGAAAGAATGCAGCCCTCAGAAAATTCCTTGGAAATTTTAAGGACATTTGATCATTTGTTGATCCAAAGAGATTTGGCAACACTGGTATAAAAGACAACTTTTTTTATACAATGAAAAATGCTTGTTTTCATTTACAGTAATTCTGAATGAGATTTCTACAAAAAGAGCGAGTCATATACAACAGATATGTAGTTCTTGATTAAATTCTGTTCATTGTACAAGGCAAACCACTGTAATTAGAAAAAAGAAGGGGCCATATATCACATGCAATCAGGACAGCAACTGTGCTCCCAATCACTCTCTTGAAAGAACTCTTGTAAGCAGTGACATCTCCACACTGGAATCCTGAAGTCAGTCTGTTCTCCTCCTCCTCCTCCTCCTCCTTAACAGCTCTAGAACTAGAGCCTTTCTCTTTTCCCTGCGCCATCTTGGCGTGTTCCAGCTTCCAGAATCTTTTCATAGCATCCCTAACTTCTTTGTCTTCAGGGGAATCAGCAGTTTGGTCATCATCCAGGTCAGGAAGGCGCCATTCAAATGTTTCCCTCACAGCGACATCTGGTGGTCTGTAAGCATGCTGCACTGAATTATAGTCTGTGACGTTAAAATAGAGGGCGCTGGCTGTGCAGGCAAAACACACAGTGCAGGCAATGAACATGGGGATGAACAAGCAGTTGGTGCTGTTGAGTGTGCTGCCATTTATAATTTGCTGAGAACAAAAATGTGTGGGGGGTACAAATTCACAACAAAAAATTCACAGAATTCAAAATTTCAACCTCTTCTAAGTCATCCTCATCATCATCATCATCAATGTCATCATCCAAAATGTGAGAGTCAGATTCACTGGAGCTTTCACCAGGATCACCCATCATGTGAATGCCTCCATAATACTCAACTCAATACATGGAAATGAATAAAAGAGGTTACTGATTAAAGTAAATTGGACTCCTTGAAGGTTCTCTTTTCTATTTTTTTTTCTGTGATGTATGATCAACTGACTCCATGTGTGCTGCAGGTCAAAAATTGAAGTGACTAAAAAAAGTATTAGTCAACCTGCTGAGAAGACATTTTTTATGTATGCCATCAACATTTATTGTGAATGAAATCAAATTCAGAATTGTTACTAAATTAGATCTATGAAGCCAGCCTTAATCTAAGTTTTTTGAAATATTTCCTTGCTGGAATTTTAAGCTTTAATCTCTTTTGATACAGTGAAAATTGCTCACCATTCAATTGACAGTTTGGGGCAATAATTATGCTGTTCTCACATAGTGCTCAAATTCATCTTTCAATGTTTTTTTTTGGAACATCACTGGTATAATTTAAGAAAAGCCATGAGTGTGAAAACATTCAGCAATAAGATGTTCAATCAAATTCCAAGTGATCATCCACTTTGACATAAGATTAAAATGTGTTTTCCTGCTGAATCACTAATGGATATTTCACCACCAGCGCCATTTTGTGAATGTCTCCATATTTAAATGAATTCAGCTCTATATGAAGCTTTTTGCTCCCACCAATTATCAAGTAACACCATGAAATACAATTTATTCTCTTCCATTCCAGGTGTAAGTCACAATTTTCTCATTGAAATGTACAGCAGTTCATTTAGGAAGACAATCCTGATTTATGAAATAGAACAAAATTACCAACAGTCCTCATATTGGGCTCAAATCTTGAAAGATCCTCATCCAATTCATATCCAATATTTTTGAGAAAATCCAGTGTGGAATTATCATGTCCCAGATCCGCGAGTCGCAAAACCTTGAAAAAATGTCACGTTTAATTCTTGCAAATTTGAATTTGCTTCATGAAATTTACATCATTCCTCTGTGACTAAATGCAAATTGAATTTAGGCAAATGGTTGCAAAGCTTTATATTTACTCCACACACAAAAAAAACTAGCAAGCCTCATCAAAATGTGCTTGCATCTTTATCCTCTCATATAAAACAATTTTTTTTTCAAAATTTCATATGGTAATCATTGATTTTTGCCTCTCAAATTAAATCAAGTTCAGCTTTGGAAGAATATGTAAGCAGCAGATTATGATTGCCAATCATATTCAAGAATATTCAAGTTTATTGATCACAAACTCTCAGAGAGTTACTTATTTTTACAAGATAAGCATTCATTGCTTCAATTTGGCTTTATTTATTGCTTTTTCCTGTTACAATAAACTAATTTGACCTCTGGAACAATATACATTTATGTAGCAAAATATGGTTGAAATTTATATGCAAAATTGTTGATCATAATTATTTGTTGAGCCTGGAATCATTTTCTGAGAGATTTTATTTTCCAATAAATGTATGAAAACCAGTGCTAAACTTTCTTCTAAATCAATATACATATTAAAAATTGATTCAGGTCAAAAGTGAAGAAGGCAAAAAGATGGGAAGCGACATCTGAACAATAATAATGGTAACTCACCTTGGGCCTCAACTTGGTGTTGCTCCAAGGCAGAGACTCTGCAATCTCCCCAGAATATGGCCCTGTGCCAATTGCCAAATAATCTGGCTCAGTCACTTCCCCAGCCAACATTAAAGAGTACAAGGGGAAACATGGAATTGGCTTGAAAACAACTCTGCTGACATTTTTGCGAATCACTGCTTCACTGAAGGAATCTGCCAGGAAGGGTAATGGCAACAATGTTGTTTCCCCATACAATGAAACAGGATGCAGGGTTTCCACTTTATCATAAGCATTTTCACTTTCATTGAATTCAGAAACAGTTTTCATCTGAAAAAAACAAACAATCAGCAGTTTATTTTATTTTATTTTTTAAAATAAACTCATTGTTTATAGGATAGTGATGAAAGAACTCACTTCTTCAAAGTAGATTGTTTTCATGAGGCCAATGTTGGACATGTTTGAATTAGAGGCACAAAATGGCATCACTTTTGTCAACAAGGTGAAATCAATTTCACTTTCTTCCATCTCAATCACAAGCCCAGTCCAGTTCACCATTGGTTCAGAGTTGAACACATTTTCCCAACACTCATTGTGATGCACACCCACATCAATGAATGTTTTCCCATGGAAAGTCTGTCATTGGGATACAAATACAAAACAGCACTTGAATTTGAGTGCACCTGAATATAGATTCAAATGCTATAATTGACAAAGGATGATGTGTATACTGACTTTGTTGAAGTATTTGTCAAGAATTTTCTTGCCCATCCCAGAAGTTTCTTGAGCTGTTCTGGATTGTTTAGCCCTTTTATTCTGCTCATGAAGTTGATCCAGATGCTCAAGATTCTTGAGATTTTTGTTTCTGTAACGTTTGGGTCCCATTTTGGGTTGAGTAGTGTTGAATCTGTCTCTCAGCATTTTCACCAATTCTTTAAAAAAATATTTTTGAATGAAATGAGAATGCATCTGAATTGGAATGATCCTATGAGCATATAGCAATCATCAGCACTGACAATTTAAGATATATAATAGTGTGTCTGTGTGTGAAATATTTCTAAAATTAGGTAAGATTGATGGATAAAATATGGTTTCATGATGAAGAAGAAGCAGTGATCTTCATAAATCAACTGCATTTGTTTTTCTAAAAAAAATTATTTAAAATTTTAAAGATATGCATAATCCTGAGCTGCTTGAATTTTTGAAGATGACTTGAAAATGAGACAATAATTGGATTACATTTTGCTGGAATTCAAAAATAGCATTTATTGTGGTCATCATCATGGACAGCATTTATAATGTCCTGAACCTTTTCAATTTTATGATTCAAGCCTTTTTGTACATATAGGAATAAAATACAGTGATGAGGACAACATAATTCTACCCATATTGGTATTAAATTGCAGAGAAGTTGATTTGCTCTTCATTGAACTTGATAAATGTGCCATTAATATACAGTATTTGAAGACTTGCATATGTTGTATGATGTTAGACCTGAATGCCATATAGAATGATCATTTTATGTCATTCAGGTCTAACCCTGAATGCCATAGCAATTATGTTCCCTTGTACATAATTACTTGATGCATATTGTGAAAGAGTAGAAATAAATATACTGTATACTTGGGTCATCTTGGGCCACAGGTTCTCCTCCAAGCAGAACTTCTTCTTCAGAAGGACTGAGTTCAAATCTTGCAGATGAACTGATGATATTCTCAACCTCCTCCAGCTTATCCTTATTTGTCCCATTTAGTTCATTGATTGGGAGAGATCTGGTCCTGCTCAGGTTACCTTTCCCTACCCAGTTTGACATAGCAAAATTTATGGCAACATGTCTTTCCATTATCCATCTGAAATAGTTATTAAAAAAAAACAACACATTACATTTTTAATGGATAAAATCCCTGAAATCATCCATGACATGCATACACAAACTTGGAAGACTCTAAAAAATTTTATTTGGATGATTTTAGCTTGATCAAATAGTGAAGTATTAACATTTTTAAAAAGCTCCACCATTGATTCCCATGTCCCACCAAGAATCATGTACTTCTGTATTGCATATGATCATTCAAGGAACTATTAAAAAAACTGAGGCTTATCATCAAATAATCCTGTTATGCTGCTTCTTGTTAGCATTCAGACAATGCTCAATTAAGCAGTTGCTGGTTTCCCTATACTTTTTTTTCCCTTGATGATGCACCTTGTCAAGTAATGCAGTGTGCCAAGTTATGCAACAATCCTTCAAACAAGATCAGATCCATGTCTGACAAGTCTTGGTCAATCTTGGACCAAGATGTCTGTCTATATAAAGCTACTCTCCTTTCTCTATATGTGTTCATTGCTCACTGCAGCTTGTTTGTTGCTGGAAGTCAAATTACACTGTCATTCTATGTTTGTGGAATACAGGAATGAAAACTTAGATTCTTTTGTAAGAATACTTATTGAAGAGTATTCACTTGGCAAAATTGGGCAATAAGGAATTGCAATTTTCTCATCAAATAGGTTGTCAGACCTAAATTAATGTTACAATACAATGTGATGAGAGTATTGATGTATATGGACTTGAGAGACATCTTGAAATCATTATATTTCCAGAAGATCTAATTGTAGTCTGATAACATGCTTATCATGTATGATGAAATTACTTGGATATCATTGAACTTTGTTGAAAGTTACAGCAGTTTAGCGCAAATTTGACTATTATTACTTGCAAATAAAATTTGGAATCTATAGTTCAAGGAGTCAGAGTTTAATTAAGATGAAGAAGGATCTGTTTGGAGGGCAACACACATGTGAGCACTTCAAGATACCTGTAAAAATAATTTCAAGTACCATCATGCAGATACAGTATTTTAAAAGCTCACCAAATATTGAATTTACCTCAAATAATTTTGAGTCCATTCCTTTCTTCTGGAAACCATCATTCTGTTATAACCGTTTTGGGTGGAATCAACGCCAGATGGCGCCTTCAATCCAAAGCCTGGCATCAGCAGGTCCAGCAAAAATGAGGAAGCTTGAAACAAAATTATCCAAATAGTTGCCCAAATTGCAATATGTAAAATGAAGGAATGAGGTCCTCTTCTTATCTTTCCAATCAACATGATTAGAATTGCAATCACAGCACTTGATCCTCAATGTTCAGAAATGAAAAAAGCAGACCACAGTATTCAGTGAAATGATCCAGGAATCACAGAATTGATATAGAAAAGGAAGGAGGAGCAAGAAAATTACATTCTACAAATTCATTCAACTTTTTGACAAAATACAGGAAGAAGTGGAGGGATACGAATATGCTGACTTTTTGCTCAGCTCATATATCCCTTATTGTGCCATATTTCTATGACTTCCATTTTTGTTTGTTGCTGGTAATGTCTCATGAAAGCCACCACCTGATATTTATTTGAGAACCTGTGAAGAGAAAATTGACATACATTCATCTAGTTTTCTGTTTACGTATCAATAATGTTCTCACCCTGAAAGTCCCAGCAGAAGTTGGTTTTTTTCCAAATGAATAAGCTCTGAGCATCAATTATGGCATGAAGGCACACAAAATAGGAATCATGGTAAATTACTTCAGTATGCATTAAGTGGGAAACACCTGATGGCAACACTGAACACAATTGCATCTCTCATGGCCACCAGCACCAGGGATGAAGTACAATGCAAAAATGTGTTTGAATAGCAGCAGTGACATGAATCAAGTTTCTTCCACATGCCCATATGACATCATTTTGATTCAGTGATAATCAAGCATAGATGGCGCTGACAATGCAGGGAAATCCTAAATCTCAAGCCATGAACACCATTGGGAATAAAATAAACATCAGTTGGTATTTGTGATCCTCAATATTGATTGTGCCATTCATCAGCAACTGGAAAAAATATGCATGACAACTAACATAGACCTCATATAAGATAAAAAAAAAACAGATTGGAATTCTTGACCTCACCTCTTCTAATGAAGTCAGTTTTGAAGCATATTTCAATGTCATCATACATGATGTATACTTGAGTCATTGAATCCCAGGACTTTTTTTTGGGATGAATATGAATTTTCCTTCATCTTAGGTAGTAGTGAGAAAAGAATACTTATGAGTGCATAACTTAATTTTTTTTTGGAATCCAAATCCAAAAATAAGTTTATATAATCAGGATTTGAAAAAAGTCACACTTCATTCTCAGAATTATTATGCCTTGCTGAGTTGCTGTGCATGTCCAAATTTCTCAGTGAAATTCACAGCAAATAAAGCCTCATTTAGGATCATCCCTTATGAAAGAAAACAAAATCTCGAGGAACCCCATCTTTGGGTTCAAATCTAGAAATTTCCTCATCCAGTTCATATCCAAAGCCCTTGAGAAAATGCAGTGTCGAATTTTCAGCTCCCATATCCGCAAGTCGCACAACCTTCCAAGCAAAAAAAAAAAGAATGCATATTTTAGCACATACCATGCAGAAAAAGTTGGCATTTTTTTGAGAGCAAGAGAAGAGGCGACATCTGAGTCATGTGTATCAAACATTCACTCACCTTTGGCCTCAACTTGGTGTCACTCCAAGGCAAAGACTCTGCAATATCCCCAGAATATGACCCTGTGCCAATTGCCAAATAATCTGGCTCAGTCACTTCCCCTGCCAACATGATGGAGTACAAGGGGAAACAAGGAATGGGTTTGAAAATCACTCTTGTGAAATTTCTGCGACGCATTCCTTCACTCAAGGAGTCATTCAGTAAATGCAAGGGCAACAATGTTAATTCCCCAAACAATGTGTAGCTTGAATGACCTAATTCAGATGCATTGGAATTCTGCTGATGGGTTGTATTCTGAAAAAAAAGAGTTGTATTTTTTTGTCTTTGAAATACTTGGGGAATTTAAATCTGTTTGAAAAATAATATAACTCACATCCTCAAAAATGAAATCTTTCGTAATGCCAATGTAGGAAATGTTTGAGTTAGAAGCACAAAATGGCATCAGTCTTGTCAACAGAGTGTAATCAATTTGCTGAGGGTCCATCTCAATCACAAGCCCAGTCCAGTTCACCATTGGTTCAGACTTGAAAACATCCTCCCAACACTCATTATGATGCACACCCACATCAATGAATGTCTTGCCATGGAAAGTCTGTTGAGAATGAAATAAAATTAAACGCTCTTTGTATAAATAGACCTGAGTTCATGTGCTGATGACTGACTTTGTTGAAGTATTTGTCAAGGATTTTCTTTCCAATCCCTGAAGAGTTTTGGGCAGTATATGCATTCTGAGAGACTCTCCGACTCTCATGAAGGTTGTCCAAGTACTGGAGATTTTTCAGATTTCGGTTTCTGTAACGTTTTGGTCCTGTCTTGGGTTTTGTGTTTGGGATCCTAGATCTCAGAATTGTCAGTAACCCTTGGAAAAAAACAATGAAACCATGGAAATGAATTCACATTCAATATTTGTGTTGTTACAAATGCGAAAAAATATCCACTCAGGAATTTTGCCAACATGCAATCTTTGATTGTGGTGAGCTTTTCTCACCATGCACCTTTGTGGTGCATCCTCTCCTTGTAAACCTGCTCATGCATAAAACCCAAAAGGGTAGCCATGCATACTTTCTGAATAATAAGATATGCGTGTCTTGAAACAGTGTTTCAAGACTAAGGCTTATCCCGCAATGCTAATCTCAACTTCTCAGACATGCAAACCGCATGACCACAAATTGAGTACTTTCTCAACTAAGTTTCAAAAGCAATGAACTGTATAATAGTAAACTCTTGCCCCCAAAATCTAGGACCCATAATGTGATATAAAAGCCTAGGTCCAGCTCTAGACAAGTCAGTTGATCACTGATCCTCTGAAAGGAGTCAGAGTTCCATTAGGCTTCCCTGTGGAGCATATTGTCTTGATTTGCAAGTGTGCAAAATTGGGTTTAATAAACTGTTGTCAAAGAAAAGTCAGTCTGTTATTTTCTTGATAAGTCTTGCATTGTCAGCAGAACATTCCTCCACAACTAAGGAGTGAAGAACCACAAGAGTAGGCACTCATAACGGTCCCATATATTTATCTTATAGTTATTCTTCTAAATTGAAATTAATTAAAATAGGATAACAGTGTAGATACATGAAATGTTTTCATGTTTTGCACAAGCCTTCATAGAAAATCTTGAGTTTGTTTACAACAAGTCAATAATAATTTTCTTCCACCACCAAATTAATATGCAAATTCTGTACCTGCTATTTTCCCAGTGCTGGCAGTTTGCAAATAAGTTTCTTGCAGACTTTCAAGATGTCTAGCAAATTCAATGTTTGCCCTTTATAATTCTGCTATGCATATAAGAAAAGGCTTGTTATTTCCCCCCCCCCCTTGAATGTGAAAGATTTTAAAATTGAATATGTAGTTGTTATATTTGCACCAAAAGGCATCAGTCATGTCAAATTTTAATCTAAATACTGTAATATTTTTCAAAAAATGAAATATCTTACAAGAAGATTTTTTCTGCAAATGGGGAATAAGCATTTGGTATTTTCTGATTATAAAAGGCATTTTTGCTTTGTACATATATCCATACAAAAATATAAAAAGCATTTTAGTCATGCTGGTACCTCATCTATAGAAGAAGTTGGTATATTTTTTCTTGCATTTACTAAAATTATGAATTAATACAAGGCTGCTATAGCATTTGTTGCATAATTTAAGAACTGAATGACTTCAGATCTAAGATCAATAGCTTGCAAAATGGAAAATTAGCAAATGATTACTGAATTTAAAAAGTGGTACTGTACTGGGATCATCTTGGGCAACTGGTTCTTCTCCATAAAGAACAGCTTCTTCATCAGGTTTGAGTTCATAGCTTGCAGAGTAGGTGATGAGGTTCTCCAGCTGTTCCAGCTTCTCCAGATTCGTTGAATTCAATTCACTTCTCATGAGAGTTCTGGTCCTGGTCCTGTTGCCCTTGCCCACCCATACTGAATTGCTGAGCACAAGCGTCATCTGTCTCTCCAACACCCACCTGGAACAATATTATGGAAACATACAATTCAATGGGTGGCTGTATGCAAACATGTCAGACGTCCATTTTTATTTTGTGGAGTGTGTTCTTTTTTATTTTTGTCATCAATTTGTGCTTTGTTTCCTGCTTTGAAGTGATTGAATGTCATTGAGGGGAATTGGGTTGGGTGGGAAGGGGGTTTGGATGCAGGAGTCTTGGCTGTGCCTTATGTGAACGCTGAAAAGCGACAAATAAAGTGTTCTGTTCATTCATTCATACAATTAGGACCCCATTTAAAAATTCAAAGTTATCTCAGAATATTTTGAAACAACATTTCAAGAATGATGATACAGCTGCATCCTTCAAAAATGAAAACATCCAAAAAGTGTTCCTCAAAGAAAAAGAAACATTACTTTTGAACAAATAAATTATGCTACATCCTCCAGAAAATGGTCTCAGTATAAAATCATGTCTTATTGTTTAAAGTATACCATACAATAAAATATCTTTATATAAAAAATATCATCCCAACAACATTTTCAGCATGAAAACGTTTTTCAAGTCCTGGCTGAAAACCTGTGAGAAAATAAATTTGTCTCACAGAGTTGAAGGACAAAATTTACTTGGGTAAAGAGATTGAAATAATGAATTTATTTTGATGAACAAAAAAACTTTGATTGATAAAAATGGAAAACTGGAAATGAATTAACACACTTGAACAGCTGGGAATTTTTTTTACATCCTATAGTCTAATGTTGATATATTTCAAGATTTGTAAATTCAGAGCAAAAGACTCTCAGTTTAGACTTTTTACACAAGATTAAAGTTTATGGTTTCTGCTGGAGATCAAGGCATGATTGAAACCAAGTACAAGTGTAAAATAAATGAAAAATCAATTTTACCTCATGTGATTTCGACCAAATTCCCTTCTGGAATTCAAAATGTTACTAGATCTTTGGTAGTCTGACAAATAGTCAAAGCTAGATGGCGCCACGCTATTGCTTTGGAACCCAATGTGCTCCATCATGAAGCTCAACAAAGAGGAAGCATATGGAAGTAAAATCAGCCCAACAACAGTCCAAGTTGCAATTTGTAAAATTAAAAAGAGTGTTCCTCTCATTGCTGCAGCACTCATCAAGATTAATGCACAAGAATCACAATCAAACTGGATTCTGTAAAAAAAATGGAACACCAGTGAGTTGAGAAAACTTTCAGTTAGGTTCCTCAAGAAATATGACAAGGAAAAGTAGTCTGAAAATACCTATTTCTTGAACTTTCAAACCATTTTGCCAAAATACACAAATCCAGAGTGTGAAGTGAAGTCAGAGAATTCCATGTCCAGCTCATATCCATGCTGTGCCATCAAGGAAACTGTTTCATTATCTGGAAATCCACCTGGCATCATTCTTACAACCTGCAAGAGAACACAGATGATATATATTCTGACAATCAATTTCTAAAAAAATATCAATATATGCTACTCTCACCCTTGGCTGTATTTTGTCCCACTGAAAATTGTGAGCAATGTCCAGAGAAATTTTATTGACACTCAAGGATAAATAGTCCACCTCAGTGAAGTTAGCTGCCAGTAGAATAGTGTAGAGTGGGAAACACCTTATGGCAACAAAGAACACAAATGAATCCTTGGCCACCAAATCAGGTCTGTCCTCTTTCAGCAATTGCACAGCCTCAGGCAAGGGCAAAATAGTTGAAGTGAAGGGATGAAACTCTGGTTCACCCATCTCTGCCTGCTCCTCGCTTTTCAAGCCCATACCTCCACTCACATGTGTTTCAGCCCAGGATTTCCTGAGGAGAACTATTGTGGAATTTGTTGGAGATACACAGAATGGCAATGGTTTGTGGAATGACTTTAGTCCAAAGGATTCCTTTTGCATGTCTATAGTCAGGCCTTTCCACCCACTGTTGCTGGCCTCTGGTAGTTTTGAAAGGCAGGAGCTAAAGTCCTTTCCACCCACTTCCACCAGGTGGAGCCTCTCTCCCTGGTTGAAATTTTCATAAAGGAAGCCACATATCAGCAGAGTAGTACAGTGTATGCGTGCCTTTTCATTTGAAGAAGGCTATGGCAGATGGGGCACAATTTGAAATTTCTCAAACAGCTTGAAAATCCTGAAATAACTTTATTTATATCTGCATAAATTTCAATCAAATGTTCAACAAAAATATGATGATCATTTCTTCTCTTGAAAAATTTGTTAAGAATGCCCACATGAAAGCTTTGCTGAAACCCTCAAAATTCAACAATGTGTTGGGGACTGGCTGCACGTAACAAATTATAATAATATAAATCGAGCGGAAAAAACCACTCAAGAGGAAAAAGTAGAGCATCTGTCAACAGACTTTCACTCCAGCATCCACCCCCTCCAAAAAAATCAAAATCTTGGCTCCAAGACGTCTTCGACTCGACTTTGTCAAGCCAATCAGATGCTTTGGCGCCAACCCCCTGTCCTTGATCCACATCCTGGATCAAAGAGACTTCCCCTAAATTAATAAAAGACCATCAAAACCCTTTTATCATCATCAGTCTGTTGTTTGCTGCCTGGCAGTGCGTTTTGGAGGTTTTTGCAAGAGGTTGATTGTTCAATTTTGTTTGAAAACTTAGGGAAGTATCTTGTGAATTCTTTTGTGTCTGTTTCTAAATTGGGACCTTTTTTGAAATATATATTTTAATTTAACTTGAGGAATTGCACTGAGAATTCCTGGCCCCTGTCCCAGGCTGAGTCTGTGTTTCATTCTCAAATACGTACCTTTTATTTACAGCCTTTTTTTGCAAATTGTGTTGTGGTGACTTTTGTCCCCAACACTATGTACAAGTGACTGAGATTCGTTATTTTAGATCAAGTTTAGCTTTCCAGAACCAATTGGTTTGAGAACTCAGATACTGCAGATTAATTTTAGTTTCCCCCTTATTTAGAAAATTTCACAAGTATACTTTTGAATGACCAGGGCAAAAGTAATAAGATAACATGTAGAAATAAGAATCATGTTCAGGCATTAAACTGAATTTTTGTTTGATCCCTAATTTGTTTTCTCCAAATGTACAAATTGATTATTTATGCAGAGGTTTTTTGTACAACTGTATTTTTGTAACAGTCCCACCTTTTTGAAGTACTTGGATACTACTGGATCAACTCTGTGTTGTTTCCAGGACAAAATTTTTTCATCAGCTTCAGTCAGAATGCCTGGATCTCTGATTCTTCTGGACAACAGGCCTCCACTTTCACTTCTCCACCTAGATGTCACTTCTAAATTCCCCTCCGGAATCATGCGCTTGACATCTGCCACTAAATCTTTATATATACACAGCATATACAACTTTTCTATGTTTAACACTGTTGTCTAAAAGAAAGTATGATAGTTTCATACCGGGATCATCAGGTTTGAAGTATTTGTCTGGTTCGAAAAAGTGTTTGTAGCTCTTATGCAGAAAGGATCCATTGAGAGCTCTTTTCAGCAATTTTTCTTCAAGCATATCCAAGATCTCAGGAGGCACTACTGACACTTTGGAGAATCTGATTGCAGTGGGACCCAAGGTAAGCCTGCTCTTGGTTTCAGCAGCATACATGAGCATTTTGGCCTCAAATCTTTGCATGATCCTAGAAATTTGCAGTCTTGTCCAGCCATTGTCATTCCAGTTGTCCAATGCCCAGTCAAAAGAGTACAGTTGTCCAATCATTTCTGGGGTGATTTTGGTCAGTTCCTGGAATGGGTTTCGGGCCTCTGGGGTACCAGACAAATGCCAAGCCAACACAGCAATCAATGAGTAAAGCACTACTGAAAACCAGTTTTCTCTCACAGAATGTTTCAGTCTGAATTTAATCTTCACAGTGTGTAAGAAGCCCATTTTGGGAGGAGACTGAGCTCCAGAAGTGAGCTGTTATTTCAGGAAAACTTCAAAAAACAGCCTGTTATTGACTCCACAGACTTATCTTCAAAACCACATCATGTTTTCATCTCTGAAACTAGATGCCAAGTGAGAAAAAAACAGGGAGAATAAAGATGGAAGATGTAGCTGTGAGGAAAATATATTTATTATATCCTTCTCTGTGTAAACAGATTTCAGTACTGTGGAGGTGCTGGAACTGGGACAGGGGCTGGAGCTGGAGCAGGGGTGTATTGGTTGTAACTGACTGGATACTGAGGTTGACTGTATGTACTCTGAGCTGCTGCTGGGGCCTTGGAGTATGTGTCAACATAATTGATGGAATAACCAGCATAGCTCTTTTCCTTCCAGGCATAAAGGTTGATCCTTGGGATGGCTTTGCTCTTGCAGGAGTAGATCTTGTTGCTATGCAATAACAAATACCAAAACTATTTAAAAAAGGCCTCATCCAGATCCATATTTTTGTGAATATTTTCACTTGAACCCATCTTAATCATGCACAGTAAACCATAAAAATTCAAAAATTATTTGTGAGGCTCTGAGACACATGATTTGAGTAAACAATTTAGCAGAAAAGCATTTTTAATTTTTTTACAGCTGTATACAAGGATCAACATGCAAAATACAAATTCAAACCAAATACTCTTCAAATTTTCAGCTATTTTCAATTGAGAATGGAACCAAGATGCATCAAAATAGGAAAATATTGTGATACTTCTTCCAAGAACAGGGCAAAAACCTAATCAATAAAAATACTGGTCAAATAAAACATGTAGCATATTTTTAGAATCTTATTGAAGCAAAAGAAAATCAAGATTGTGTTCCCCTTGTTATTAAGGTGTCTTTCTGGTACTGTACTTAAAATATGTTTCCAAGAGAAAAAGCTTATTTTTCATGTAATGCTTCACAATAACAATAATATATACCTGGAATAATCAGGCAGTTGCATTGCCCAACGTTGCACACTCTCAATGTAGTCCCCATGGTCACAGATGAGTCTTGCCAAGGAAATCTTCTTGAGTTCTCTCAGTTGAGCTTTGTAACAAAAAATTATTTAGCATTTTTAGATTTTCTTGAATAAAAAATGGAAATATATAGAAGCTCACAGGGAGTGAATGAAGATGGGAATCCTGGGTTCTCATACCAGAACCTGTCACCTCTGATGACTCTGGAATATTGTTCACTCAGGATACAAGAGAAGGTCTCACCAACCAGCCCTTTGTTGTAAGCAAACTCTGAGACCCCAGCAGACCACAAGTCCAAATCTTCAATGCTCCTACAAAATTTGATGCACATCAAAGTTTATAACTTTTCCAGCATTTTTCAACTGAACAGAATGTATCAAAATTTAAGGTTGGAAAGCAGTTTGCACTTCTGATCACTGAATTTAATGTGAAATGCTGCAGCAATCTTCAAGATAATTCACAACTATACAGACCCTCTTATTTGAAGTCACATAGCATAAAATAAATAAGTTTTCCAAAACTTCTTTGTGAGCTTTGTCTGCCTGAGCTGAGCTATTTTAATGAAGGTTATTTTATGCATTCAGGTACACAAGAGGTAAAGACAATATTTTTGAAACAATCACATAAGGTGTTCAGCATGCAGCCACTCACGCATAGATCCTCTGAAAGCCTGTGACAGTTTCATTTGGCATAACAGTCCTGAGGTCATCCCAGCTGTATATTGGCTTCAGGTTACACAATTTCCTGTATTCCAAATACCCCCTGATGCCATGATCTCTTCCTCTTTGAATGTTCTTGGATGCCAAGTCCTCTCCAATGTTGTTAAAACCTTTGAAGAGGTAGTTCCTTACCTGTTTGGAAAAGAAATCACATCATGTAAAAGCTTTTTCAAAGATTCTGATCAGTCAAAGAGAACCTAGAACAACTTTTTTAAAGCATTTTTCTATCCTGGGATATTGAAATCAGGATGGAAACAGACAGGTGAAAATAGACTTGTGCACCAATTACAGCTATGAGAAATTGCAATGATTTATCTGAGGTCTGCATGATAGAATAAATAGTGCAAATTACACAGCTGGGTATTTTCAAATATATCACATTATATTAATAAAGCCAAAAACCTGCAATAAAATCCCAGCAGTGATTTCTGAAATATTCATAGCAAGAACAAGTATTTGGGAACAACTTCAAAATTATGGGCGTCTTTTAAAGAGTTTCTGAATCTGCAATGAAATTTTTAACTGATCCCAACATTATCTTTGTAACAGTTACAAAATCTCAAAACCATCTTTGTAATCTTGGAATTTCCCTTCATTATTGCAAGTCATTATTCTGAAGGTGAATGTTGAACTATACCTTTAATTTTTAGTGAGAAAAAAGTTTGTTTTAATCAAAGTTCTTATTGAACTGGTAAAGACCCTGAAAAGTTTGAAAACCCTTCTGAACTCTTTAAAATTCAACCAAAATGATGTGACACAGTTAATTATAGTACACAGGTGGTACCTTTTAATTTAACCTCCTGCCATTCAACCATCCCACAATTTGATGATCAACGTTGCATAAATACATTAGTTTGTGCATCACCAGAGCACCTTCTCTGCTTATGTCCAGCATTTCAAATGGATAGAAATCAGCTTAAGAAAGATTTCAAATTACTGAAATTCAATGAGGAGACACTTTCTGAAATCTTAATCCTATCCGCTTCCGGGTTGGCGTGTAGGAGTTGCTGTGCGGTATACCCAAGCGAGGATGCTATGCTCGGGTTGCCGCGTGAACGCAACCCCACATGAGGTACTGAGGTCTGCATGATAGTATAAATATTGTAGTTCAAATTACACAGGGCAATTTCAAATATATCACAGGACATTATATGAATACTGTATAGCCAAAAAGCTGCAATATAATTCCAGCAGTCATTTCTGAAATATTCATAGCAAGCACAAAGGTGGGGGAAAAACTTCAAAATGATGGGTGTCTTTTATTAAAGAGTTTCTGAATCTGCAATGAAAGTTCAACTGATTCCAACATTATCTTTGTAACAGCAGTTACACAATATCAAAACCATATTTCTAATTTTGGAATTTTGCTGCATTATTTCCAGTCATTATTCTGAAGGTGCATGTTGACCTAAACTTTTAATTTTTAGTGAGGACAAAAAGTTTGTTTCAATCAAAGTTCTTATTGAACCAGTGATGGAGACCTTGAACTGTAAAATTCAACCAAAATGATGTGACACAGTTAATTATGGTGTAGGTGGTACCTCCCAATTTAACCTTCTGCAATTAAATCATCCCACAATTTGATGGTGAAATTTGCAGGGAGGTTGACTCGCAATTTGAGCTCTGCCCTAGAATTTGACCTGCTATGGCCACTTTTTTTGAATTTTGTGCTGATATTTATAAATTTTACAAGGTGTTTTACAATTTGGCTGTTATTATGCAGTTTGGCTGTTTTGCAATTTGACCTGTCCAGCAATAGATTATAGGGTCATATTGAAAAATACCACAAATATGTATAGGGTTTCTTGTGGGTCAACTAACTTCATCAGTAATGTGTGGGTCCATCCTGTAAAGTGGCTGATGAAGAGCACCCAGCATCATTCTGTCCACATTTCCAGGGACGTAGATCTCATCAGCTCTGTTCTGAAGCTCCCTGAACAGAACCTTCTCTGTATGAATCATAGTCACATGAGCCTGACTCATCACATGCACTTCTACATGCCCATATACATGTATATATTTACTGCTCATATACTCACTTGTAACTTGATGATTCTTGTTGGCATAGTAAATCTCATCTGGAATCAGTGAGTGGGCAAAACGAAAAGCTGCTGTGGAAAATTCATTGGACACCTGAGGATCTGTGTCTGGTTCATAGTCATACCTGTAAAGCTGCAACGTTTCATGGTCATTGTAAATGCCCCAAATGGGAATGAATGAATGTTTAAATAATCTTTTTCAAATAATCTGTTCAAGTTAATATTTGAAATGTTTGAAAAATCCCTTCCAAATATTATTTTTGAACACATGTATACCTTGACAGGCCTGAGTTTGTAGAGATCCAAGTAGTAACCATCCAACATGGCTGGCAACCATTCATTGACAGATATGTGCTGATTAGCAGCAATCACAATCCTCCTGGCTTCATGGAACAGTCTTTCAGCACTCCAGTGTGGGTTCAAGTACTTGAGTTGTTCTACATAGTCATTGTGCATGCGCAGGAATATGACGTGCATGACAACCAAAGATGTCTGCAGGCTGTTTCTGTCATCCCCTGTAATATATATAAGATAAATGCCAAAATTTAATATATACTGTATATTGTATTGATTGATTCAACCCTAATCTGTTGTTGAGTAAATGTCAAATTTCAAAGGTGTCAAATTGCTAGGCAATGTCAAATTTGATGTTTTTTTTTTTACATTGAACTTGATATTTTGAGTCTCTGCAGGTGAAATAGTGTGGCAAGAGGACAGGCTGAAAGTCAACATCTCAGCAAATTTGACCAGCATAAAACTGTGGGATGGTCAAATTATGGGACAGTCCAATTGGAGGACATGAAATTGCAAGGAACCATGCACCTGTACATTTCTTGTTTGAAAAAAGCATATCGTGAAAATAAAACCATAATTTTGGAAATTAGTCCCTTTGTAGTTTTCAGAAAGAAAAACTTGCAATCATTTCTTTCCTTTCTTTAATGATGCATAGCCAAACTGTAGAAATTACAGTATTGCAATTCTGTTCATTCTATTGAATATTGGCACCTGCTTTGAAGCAGTAGGTATCCTTGTTCAGCCTGTCACAGTTGTAGTCAGGTCTTCTTTTCTGCTGTGGAGGCAATGGCTTCAGTCCATATTCACTATACAATAAAATCCAAAATTTCAGAAAAGGACACTCAAGATTCTTTTAAACATGAATCAAATATGAGATTAGGAAAAAGTAGAAGACTAACGCTGGATAAGGGTTGTAGGTCAACAGGTACCCATGCTTGTCCCTGATCTGACCATATGTCTTGAACTCAGACCCATACACAGGACTGGCATCAATCACAGGTGTGGCACTGTTCCACTGTTCTCTGGAACCCAGGAGACAGTATGGCCACAAACCTGGCATGGCTCTCACAAAATTCAAACAGCTCCTCTTGTATGACCCATAGAATGGATCATCTGGAGGCACACTGATGGGGTAACAGTCATGATGACCCTTGTAACTGCAGCATTCATAATGCCCATTGGGAACTTTGTAATCTATGGGAAACAACGAGTCATTTAATATGAAAATAAGCTCTCTGTGATGCCAATAAATCTTCAAGATATAACTCACTCTGATGGAAGTTACTGCTGAGGACAATTTCATGGTCCATGTACTGCCCAAAGACTATGAACCACCAGTTCCAGAATTTCTCATTAGCATGCACATTGTAATGAACAACATTTGACACTAATCTTGCACTTGGGAGTGGGTAGCCTGTGACACTGACCCTTGGATTGCCCAGACCTGTGACAGAGAAAAAAATGCATAAACCATGTTTTGACAAGTTTTTTTTTAGGGTTCTATAGGAAGTTGCTGACTTGCCATCACTGTAGCCATTAGGCAAGAGTCTCCTCAGCAAACGCCCAGATGATGCTTTGTCCTCATCCTTGCCATCATTACAGTCCCCTGTGATCCTAGGGTACTTGACCATAGTACACTTGATATGATCTGGTTTGTAGTACATGGGACATATTTCCCAAATCTTGGTCTTGCTCACATCCATGTGGGGCAGGATTTGTGCTGCCACTCTAGGGTCCAACTTGAACCTTTTGTTTCATGAATCACATTTTTAAAACCGCCATTATATACCGTATTTACTCAAGTACCACGCACACATTTTTTCCCAAATTTCAGAAGAAAAAAAGGGGTGCGTGTCATAAGTGGGTACACAATTAAGTTCTTCAAAATCCTTCAATACAAACGTAATGTGAATTAATATTACCTCTTTAAACCTTGTTTATATTAAAGAGAGCATTTTTGCATTGAAAAAGTTGAAAATTCATCAGATTTTTGTTCAATTCACGCCTAAAGTCAAATTTTTGGTTTTTATTTTTGAAATTTTATGGTTTTAGGTTCACTAAAAATTGGGGTGCGCGTCTTACTCAGGGATAAGATTTTGGCAAAATTTTTGAGTGAAAAACCCCTGTGCGTGCCTTACTTGAGGGCACGTGGTACTTGAGTAAATATGGTAGTTTTGTTCAAAATGGATCTTTCAACACTCTATTGCATAGGTATTAAATTGAAAATAGCCCTGAATTTATAAATTGGCTGTCTTTACTTCAATTCAGAGATGCTTTACTATTCATGAACTTGTTAGTGTTTATTCTAACAATAAAATAAAAATAAGTGAAGGAATTATATAAGATTTTGATGCAATTGCTCTTTTATTACAAGCACACTAGGAAGATTGAATACGCAGTATTAAGAGTAAGGTTACCACATTCTGCAACACTGTTGAAAGTTGTCCAGTCTAGGAAATATACAGTAAAGGTGGTACTTTGCAATTCAACCTCCTGCAATTCAACGTTTGTGCAATTTCAATATGGTCAAATTTGCTGGGAGGTCAACTCTCAATTTGACCTCTGCTGCACAATTTGGTCTGTGATCGAGAGGCATGACGCATCAATAACTTTCATGTAGAAAATATGCCATTTGACATTGTCTTGCAATTAAACCACTTTACAATTTGACCTCAGTCTAGCAATGGATTAGGGGCATATTGCAAGGTACCACCTGTACATTCCTCAGTATTTTTTTTTTTTAGATATAATACTTTTTTTGATGACAGGGTTTTTTCTAAAGATTCACTTACTTGTCCACCACCCAAACAGTGGCTTGCCACATAACATCACCCATGGCACCAATGACTTCAGCTACTGGCTTGTCTTTAATATCCATCCCAATGAGTTTGATGGCAAAGTCAAGAGCGTCATCTACATCTTTGACAGTGATGCACTGTCCTTTGTAGGGACCACTGAAATAATTGAATGAATATAATATTGACACAAAAGATGAAACAGTGCTGATATGTTGCTTTCTTGATTTCAACTGCTCATGCATTATCGAGAGAATATTCAGTTTTGTTAATAGACTTTCTCAGTTTTCAGGAAGATTTAAATGATTTTTGAAAGAAAGAACTGCTCAATTCTTGATTGGTTCCACACAAAAAGAGGAAACAGGTTTCAAATTTCATTTTATCACTAAGAAATGTTGGCATTGATGAGTTTACATTCTGGATAATAAACTTTCAGCTGTGGCCATTCAGGGCAACCAAAACTTTCAAGTACAGTACACTTGGGAAATTTTCTCAAGGATGAATCTCCTTATTCATTAAAATCCAAAGAAATTGTCAACCTTAAAAATATGCAGGTTTGCATTTTTGGATCAACCTGAAGTTGGAATTGGTGAAAAAATAGTCCAGAGCAAGACTGAAAATGCAAATAAAAACAGGAAAATGAACAGAGGCTTGCTTCATTGAAGTGTGATACTTTTGATATCCCACAGGAGGAATTTAAATTACTTTGACTCAGATTATTAAAACTTGAATACAATAAGGTAGAGAAAAAATTTTTGAACCGTCTCTCATTTCATTTGGTTGCTGAATCTTGAATTAATTTCCATTGGGAATCATGAAGCACAAATTGCTTTGAAGAGGATGAACATAAACCAAGAAAAATACAAAGTCTCTTTCGGAAGAAAAAATAAGTCTGGGAACTCACTTGTAGGAAGCAGGCAAAGGCATGAGACACAAATTTGGAGGATATTTGACCACAAGAGCAGAAGTTGGGTGAATGGTGTCAGGTGGGTAGGGTTCCTTTGGCTTCATTATGAAACCATCATTGTAAGAGGTGTAAGAGGGAGGTGAGTAGTTCTGCTGGATGTAGCCAGATGGAGCTGCTGGCATGGCCATTATTGCCACTGGTGCTTCCATCTTCATCACCTTCATGTTGGGCATGATGTTGCCTGCCGCCAGGTGGCAGCAGGACAAGAGCAGAGCCCCCAACCACATCTTCATTCTCTGCTCCACTTTTCGCTTTTATTTGTAGCAAAAAACAAACTTTTTGTATATGAACAAACTCACTGCTGAGAACTTATGAAAGTGTCATTTTTCATTTTTTTTTTTACTCACTGGTCTCAGCTCTGAAAGGAAAGAGCAGGACTCACTCTCCTCTATCTCAGCACTTTCTGGAATGGCAGAATCTTTCCTGGCATTAAATTTTGCAGAGTTGGCAGGAAATGGAGCACTGATGTCTTGTCCAACCACAGAGACACACAAGTTGTCCAGCCAGATGTCGGCTTCAGACTAAGTCTGCTTTTTGTCCAACTAAGCACTTTTGGTCCTTGCAGAAGAACCCATTACACACTGCTTCATCCTGTCTCACTTTTCCCCCCTGTAATCATCAGAGGAGCAGCTGTTTCTATGAAATAAAAGAATGATTATGTAAAGGATTGAAAAATGCAAAAGGATCCATGTACAGAATATCTGGATGGTTTGCTTTTTTATTGATTTATTTCCACAGCATTTTTGTATGTGTGTGTGTGTGTCAGATGTCATATTGGCTGTTTTTTTATTATTATTGAATGGCCTAAATTTCATCTTTCAAGCCTTATTTGTTTGCCCTTGATTCACTGGCTTTGCTGCTGGTTGTAGACCCCAAATGGACCAGAAGCTTGGGGTTGCAGGCGGTGGATCTGCTGGCTTTGGGTCTTGGGGTTCTACTGGTTCTGGATCTTCAGGTTCTTCGGGTTCTTCTGGTTTTGGGTCTTTTGGTTTTTCTGGTGCCGCAGGGACATGAACTGGTGCATTTGCAGGAGGCTTGTAACGAAGCCTGCCAGCCTGGTGGTAATTGTCTTCAAGAGGACCATAGTTGTTTTGGCCATATCCTGGGAATCTGTTATTGTACTGAGGACCATCTGGGTCCTTCCAGGGGTCCAAGTTGATGAAAGGGAATCCATTACAGGGTAATCTGGGGTTTCTGTATATCATGAAAAAAATAAAAAATATAAGTTTTGGCTTTTTGTGTTGGGTATAGAAATGGGGGTATCAAAATTTTTGCAAATTGTTAATGTATAAACGTTAAGCCGTATTGTGGTTATTATTTCTCAGGAAGCCTTGTAAGTGTTTAGCATGCCTTCCTTTCAAAAATCTGTAGTTGTAATACAGTATATATGTTTTTGCAGTGCATAATTAAAATATATCCTATAAATATTTTTTTTACAACATTGTACTTTCATTTAGTTCATTTGGACAACATACCGTATTTACTCAAGTACCACATGCACCTTTTTTCTCAGATTTGAGAAGAAAAAAGGGTTGCATGTCATAAGGGGGTACAAATTTTTCAAGAAGTTTTAGGAAATTATGCATGCATTATACTTAATGATAATGGAGAAATTTGGAAAAAATATAACAAGAAAACTTTTTGTACAGAAAAAGTTGAAAATTGATCAGATTTTTGTGAAATTCATGTGTACAGTCAATTTTTTTTCAAAATTTTGTGGTTTTAGATTCACTAAAAATTTGGGTGCACATCTTACTCAGGGATACAATTTTAACCAAATTTTCAGCTGGAAAACCCCTGAGCGTGCCTTACTCAAGGCAGCGTGGTACTTGAGTAAATACGGTAGTCTCCAAAGGAAGTGTCAGTTTAAATTGTATGGAATTCAGAGGTTAATTTTTCAGCATAATTTTCCAGGAAATATTCAAATACACAAATAAATTTGCAAAGGTATTTGTTTTCTATGTCCTTTTGTGAAGGAAATCATGGCATTCCCTCATTATTGACTAAAAATTATGCTTATTGCAAAATATACTGTATTCATGTTCTGTATTACATGTTTACATCCAACTGCACTTTTTAAAAACATTTGCAAGCCTTTTAAGATACCCTGATTATAGTTTTTCTCATACTCACGTTTGCTGGTGTGGCATCAAGAAGGGCCTCACTTGAATGGAATTCATTCTGAAAACTCTGCACATTGTTCCAGCTAAAGTGGATTCCTTGATGCTTTCCATTTGCTCTGGAAATATACAAATGAAATAAAGTTCATTAAGTATATAATTATGTTTGTGATCATCTAATAATCAGCTCCTGTGGAGACATATTCATGCTCTTTGTTTCACTCAACTCATAATAATGCTATCAAGTACAAAAATGAGTTTGATATACTGTTGGTGACATGATGTGATCATCCTATTTCAGGTTGAAAAGCTTTATGTGCATGTGCATCAAGTTTGACATTATTTTATTTTCACCAACATGAGGTTTTTTTATTTATTATGCTTATATGCATAATTTCAAGACTCATCAAATTTTGAAAATATATTGTACATAGGGACAAAACATTGAATAACAGTGAAAAAAATGCATGACCAATTTCAAATAATGCTCATGATAGTGCCTCTAAGTCTTGAAAACTGCGTTTTTCATATGATCAAGTCCACATGGATGTTTATTTTCAGAATTTTCATTATTGAGTATGATTTCAAACACAATTTATGAATGGAAATGATATTTGAATCCAACTGCAGGAGTATGAAGGTAGGGCTCTTTTTTTTTTACAAAAATCATGGGATACCTTGGACAATAAAATCACTTTGCAGGTTAGATATTACAATTAAAGTAGCTCAGTAACCAATAAAATGAGCTGGAAAATGCCCATATAAAGGCGGTACAATATCAATTTCTGCTGACTCAAGATGTAAGCTGAGAATTATGCATGTACAAATACTTGAAATGCATCCTTGAGTGGAAAATGCAGCAGGAATATAAATATAAATTGTATACTGAGCAGATTTGAAGGATTCAAGATACCATATTGGAAATGAAATCAGGGAATTACCTTCATTGAAAGCCAGTCTGTTGTTCTCATACCATTTGTGGTCACCTATGATGTACCTCCTGAATTGTTTGGCAAGGAAGCAGGCGGCAGTGAAGCCTATTTCTGCCCCTGGCAACAGCTCTTCTGATAGCATTCCAACATAGGCATCTATATCCACTGGGTGGCTAAAATAAGTACAATAGCACAATACATATTATACAGTAAAGTTAATCAACTTTAATTCAAAACTTGATTTTAAAAATAGTACAGTACTTGAAAAAGTTTCTATACTCAAAAATCTACTATAACTATTAAACTATATACAGTGAGGCCCCAAGATGTGGACATAATTATAGTGCTTCAGCAGTGTCATTATATGTTGGAATGTCCACATGTTGGACCATCTGTTTTCCCATAGACTTCAATGGGAATAACTCATTGGATGTGAGAACATTGTTTGAACCTTATGAATGCTGAAAAGTGGAAAATGACGTTTGTTTATCAATCAATCAATCTGTGTCAAGCAAGAAATTTTCTGCAATGACCAATTTTCCATAATTTAAATGTTAAAAGGATGCTCATGACAATTTTTTTGAAGTTGCATTGAAAATACTGCAAGTCCAAACAGATAACATTTTTGCTATAAAGCATTATTAGTTTAAGGTTGAAGATTTGTATAATCAAGTATCCTTTGAGGTTGTTATTTTTCAAGGCAAGCAACTCTGTTAGAATGGTAATTTCAATTGCAGTATTCACTAGAGATTTCAAAAGCAGTGAAAAGGAGTGCAATTTTTCAATCATTTGTTATCCAGGAAACTCTTGGATATGTTTTGAGGATCTCCTTTTTAATTTGCGCTTGCTTCAAGGAAGCACACAAGGTTTTCTCCCTGCAGCTGTTTCCTTGTTTTGAATTTTCTCTTCTCACGTCACCCCATGTTAACAGCATGATGCGCTTTTGTTCTGTTTAAAGGAATATAAAACTCCCCCTCACCATTGAGAGTGACAAATGCCCCTTGTGCAGCCGCACCTCTGAAATCCATATTTCAGAGGTAAATATCCACCAAGACTGTTTTGCAATTATATATATGCATCTTGTTATTGTGTGCTGAATATTTGATATTTGCTTCATGAGGTCCGCGCACTCATGAATAAAATGTGAAATGCTGTTGTTAGCCTATATACCTGAGAAGGTATATATATTACTCAGGAACCTTATATTCCTCAGATTTAATCCAGTGTCAACCTTGGTTACATCTCAGAGAACCTTGTGTACGTTTAACAAGATTCTCTTAAATACCTGTCTGTTATATTTTTGAATATTGTTCAACCCTTGTTTGTTGTGAATAAAATATTTTTATATATTTGAAGTTGTTTTATTTAATGGAGAACACATTGAATGTATATGGTAATGAGGAAAACTGAAGCCCTTACTTGTAAACACTCCTGAGCACTGTGATGGTCTTGAATGACATAACATCCAAGAGATCTTCCCATTCAACAACTCTTCTGCCCTTGCAAAATTTCCACTTGTATATGATGTAAGGTGCCAGTCCATGGTCCCTGCCCCTGTGATTATTCTTAGCTCCCAGGTCATGTCCCACTTTGTCTTTCAAAACATTCTGGTTCTGATGCTCCAGGACCTGTGATGGAAGGTTTTTTGAGGCAAAACAGTGTCCGAATCAAACAAAGGTGTCAGAGAGTTGGCAAGAAACTTGCCTAAGATTGGACAAGACCTGATGGGTGATGAATCTGTCAGTCTTTCTGACACACTGTGTCAGAGATCCATGCACAAGCCAGCTGATCATCTGAGTTCCATTCAGCCTCTCAGGTCTGGCAAACCAGTGCCAGTATTCATCAATGGCTTGAGGAGAAAGATTAATTACGAAATCTTTCCCCAGATTGGACACTTCTCTCATTTAGTTCAAGATAGTGAAAACCCATCATCTTCTTGCTTTCAATTTTCCTTAAACATGTAATGTATACACTCAACATCTTTCATGAGACTCTGGAATAAAGATTTATTTTGATGCTTTTATTTTGCTGCTAGTATAGTGATTGATGATACACTTACCTACTTATTTTTCACATCTGAAATCCAAGAGGAAATATCTCTGGGATGAATACAATGTGTATTGAAGTAATAGTGAAATTTATATTTAAATATATTAACATGGTATTCATGAGACTCTGGACTCATGCAACAAGAAGCAAAAGGGATCTTGGTTGCCCTTGATTCCTTGCTATATAGCCTCATCTTTTATTTGGAGTTATCCCCAGCAGAATTAATCCAAGCCTTATTGCCGTCATTTCTCAGGGAGCCTTCATTGTGAGTGTTTAGCAAGACTCCTTTTCAAACCTCTGCATTTGTACCTATAGTTATTAAAATACATCATTTACTTATTTTGTTTTGTACAAAGTTGTTTTTTTTAATCAATTTGGACAACAAAATTATAAAAACCCCTTCCAAAGCAATATGAATAATTCTTTGTTTGACAATTTTGGCCATAATCAGGTTATACTGAACAGTGGGATTCTACTGAATCCATGACTTGATAATTTTTACATATGCTATTGAGGCAAAATTGTCATGACACATATCTTTGGAGGTGTAAATTTTCAAAAAGTACTTGCCAAGTATAAATCATATTTTTGTTATAACATTCTTACTGGCATAGCATAAGCAGTACTCATAGTTTATATATTTCAAGCATTTCAACCAAATAAGCATGATTACTCATTGAGGCTAGAGAATGCTGACTCACCAAGGAATCTGTAGTGTTCATCTCTCAACACTGTGAATTCCTGAAGCTTTGAATGGCCATAACGGAATCCCACTTGTCCCAAGGTTTGAGAGGTTGCAGGGTTTGTGTAGATATCAAAATCCTCTCTGAATCCCTGGAAAAAAAGCACAGCAAAGTAGAATTGAAGGGTGTGGGTGAAATTTGCCGCAGTTGAACTTGCCGCACTTCAACTTGCTGAACCCTAACTTGCTGCTGCTGCAACTGACTGCAGCCTGAAGTGACCTCAGTCACACGTTGCTGCTGCAACAAGTTACAGCAATCATATCATCTCACTGCAGTCACAACTTATTGCAGTAGTTATATGTTGCCACTTTTTCAACATGCTGTACTTGAAGATTAATTCAGACAGTTCTAGAACTTTTTAAAACTTAATTCTCAGCAGAACATGCTTGCAATTGAAAAAAGTAGAATACTGTTGTGTATATTTACACTTCTTTATATTTAAGGTTTGGTATATCCTTTATAGTGGAAGTAGTAAAACACAGTATTCCAGCAGTTCTAGTATTTATTGCCTTTTGTCAATAAACATACAAGACAAGACTTCAGAGGATTCCTACTTGGGATTCTACTCAATGGTCAGCGCACTAATGCCTGATTTTGGGAAGACGCTACTGGAGTTTATATACTCCAGAAAATCAGGTAAAAGGTCAAAGTACCAGGAAGTGTACTTCTTAATTGAGGGACAGAATGCAAGGCTACATCCTTCAAGGAAGGTCAATATGATACAATATATTATCGAGTATATTCTAGCCTCAAGAATTGCCCTGTCAGGAAGAGTAATTAATCTCTTCCTTTTCTCTCATCTTCTTTGTTGCACCTGAGTCCTTTAATATTCTTTTATTTACGACTCAGTTCAGAGTTGTTATTATTTACAACTCTTGGCTCACTTGTATAATCGAGTATTTTCCCAATGATAACAATACAATAATGTGGAAAAAACCTTACCATCAAAAATAAAATGCACATCATTTAGCCACCAATAGCACTAGTTCAGGATGAAGGAATTCAGTGAAACCCCCTCTATATGTTCTAAAAAATTTCACACTGCAAATACCTAGCTAAGAAGTGAAATAATGTGAGAATTCCTTTTTTCCTGAAATTTTAGTCAATGCAATGGTAGGTGGTTGCAATTCATTTGGCAAATTGTGATTGCAGAAAGTCATTACAGTGTTGAGTTGTTGCAGCAGCAACTTCCACCTGTGGTGACTTATCACAGCAGCAAGTTAACACTGCAGCAGGTTGTGACAGCAGCAAGTTAATACTGTGGCAAGTTGTGAAAGCAGCAAGTTAGTCCTGCAAAAAGTTGTGAAAGTGGCAAGTTCAACTGCTTGCTGCAGGTTGGGTGTGCGGCAAGTTAGAAAACGGCAAATTTCACTAACACAGAATTGAAGATCAGAAAATCTAAAATTGGAATACATGAAGAACTCACATCAACAGGCCATAAATTGTATTCATACATCATTTTTGGGGGCAAGAGGTAAGGCCAGAACTCTGTTTGCATCACATGCTGATAGAGGGCAGTGCATATCACCCTTGCAGTTTGAAACACCAACTCACAGTCCCAGTGTGGGTTCATGTATCTCAGTTTTTTGGCAATTATGTTGTGCAACCAATTGTACATAACGTGAACAGAAAACAGTACTGGCTCAGTGAACATCCTCCCATTGTCACCTGCATAAAAAAACAACAACAGGATAATTGATGTCACAGTTGATAGTTTTGGGAAAAACGTATTTTTGTCTCAAAATTTTGAGTATGTCTTATTACCAGTAACAAAACATTGTGATGGAGAAGTCCCAGTTGCTGTGATGCAGTCCTCTCTGTCAGCACTGGAAATGGGAAACAAAATATTTTACCTGGAAAATTATATGTCATCATTATCAATAAAGGTGGTGCCCAGCAATTCAACCCTAGTCCATACTGCCAGGTAAAGTGGTTGAATTGCAAGATGATGTTAAAGTTGATGTTTTCTGCATTGAATTTGACATTTTGAGTCTGTTTGAAGGTCAAATTGTAAAGAAAGAGGTTGAATTGCAAGTTGACATCCCAGCCATTGAATTTCAGTATGGTCAATTTGTGGTTTGTCAAATTACAAGGTACCTCCTGCATAGTGTTTTTTTCAATGTTTAACATATTTGAAGGAATTAAATTTCTGATTTATTTAAAAAATGGGATTGGAAATGTACTATACAATTACTACATCTAAACAATGTGGTGGAACTCATAGATGCTTTTATATAAGTCTAATCTACCTTACAAACTCAAACTATCTGTATAGAATAAATTATATTTATCATGTTCACAGAAAGCTCTTTCTATTTGAAAATGTTTTCCTTTTAATATATTGAAAGGGTAGAGAGAGAAAGAGAAATACCATATGGGTGTGCACTTGGCAGCCTGGTCAGAGAAAGGTGTGAGGAAGCACTTGTCAGGAGAATTCAGCCTGACTTGTCTATATGATGCCAAAGTGCTGCCATAAGTGGTACTCTGGTCAGGTATGGGTGTGGCAGCATTGTTTTGCTGGCGAACCCCCATCCTGCAGCCTGGCATCAGAGCTGGACATGTTCTGTGAAAGTCCAGACAGTCTGTGTCCATCTCTGGTTCTCTGTCTCTTGACAGAACTTCTATGGGGTAACAATCTGGGTCCCTCTGAAGTGCTCCAGATGTACAGCAGTTTATAGGGGCTGCAAGAAAACACCAAAATGAATTTTTTCTCTCCAGAACACAACATGCAAAATTGCCCTGGCACTATACTGGTAAACTTATGTGTGTCAAATTACATAATTTTAACAATTGTCTTGCAATATCTGCCTGTTTATATATGTATAGCAACACTTGAATTAAAGTCTGTTTCCAGAAGTGTTCAGAAAAAAATTAAAGGTTATTGTTACATATTCAAAAATAAGGTTCAATATTGTCTAAGATGTGTTTATCATTTTTACAATTGGGAAGGGACATGAAGCATGAGGTAATTACAGATCAACAAAGAAATAGACACATTAAATGATGAAGAAGAGTCTATTGGAATATCATGGCTCATGTTGTGGAACATATGAAACACATTCTGTGACTTGACATATGTTGATAAATTATTTGGAATTTTATTTGTATTTTTGCAATTTTGTGCAAACTGTTGCAGTACAGCAGATTGATTTGTTTATACTGCTGACTACAATAACGCTTTCAGGACAGTTTTTGAATGCTGAGAAATTGAATTTCTTCCTGAATTTACAGAAAACATCAATCACCAAAATAAATCAGCCAGAGTAAAAAAAAAGGGCATTAACCTCTGCTGTCTGCTTGAACACAGTTCAAATTGTGAAATATTTTTTCAAATTGTGAAATATTTTTTCAAATTGTGAAATATTTCTTCAAATTGTGAAATACTCTCCAAATTGTGAAAGACATTTGAAATTGTGAAATGTTGACAATTTTGCTCATTTAGATAAGACTCACTATCTGAGAAGAAGTTTGCTTCATTGATGTCATGAGCAAAATATTGCCCCCATCCCAAGTAGAAGACACTCAGGTAGCAGTCATGAATGAATGGATTCTCCCTGAAGATTTTCACAGAAATGTGTCTTGCATTAGGCAAAGGTGCTCCCAAGAACCCTGTAAGCCTTGGAGTCTCTCCAATTGCTGTAGAGCAACAGAGACAAACAGAGTAATACATTTCAATTGAATAAATATATTCCAACCAAAATATGCAAATCACATACTTCCACTGTAGTAAGCAGGTGTTTCTCTGGGAATTGGCTGCAAAGCTGCTCCCCAAGTGACATATTCCTGGCTGTTGGTGCAGAATCCTTGTGGGTGTCTGAATTTTTGGAATTTGGCACAGTCTATCACTTGAGGATCTCTATTCAAAGCACCAGTCAATGGATCAATTTGTGCAATACTTTTATGCTTCCTGAAAAAAAAGACACACTAACCTGTAAATCATTGGACAATATTGCCAGACTGAGGTGCTTTCCATGTTGATAGATGGCAGCACTTTGGCAGCTGCCTGAGGGTTCAATTTGAATCTCAAAATTGAGTTCAAAAAAGGGTGAATGAGTAATTTTTTTAAAAAACAAAAGGGATCCAATATGTACTCACTTCTCCTTCAAAATGACTCCAGCATAGAAAACTGCTCTTGACAAAATACAAATATCCTCCACTCTTTTCAGCTCATGATTAGGAATTGTGAGTTCCAGCTTTTTCAAAGCCTGGTCAAAGGCAGCATCAACATCTGCTTTGCTTATGCACCTTGAACACATTTCAAGATTATGTTACCCCAAGCACTTGAATTTTTCAATTTTCCAGAATTTTAAGCTTTCATCACCACCTGACACTCTATTTTGACACAGAAACAGAAACACATTTTCTCATTCACCTTCAGCAGAAGAAAAGAAAAACACTCACAGGTTTTGGGGTCCCACAGCATTCAAACACCCATTTTGGCGCCCACTGGAATAAATAGGGTTCCTTGGGTAGGAATTCTGTATATTCCACTCTTGCCCTGTGCTCAGGCCCACAACAGCTAGGCTAAAAGCCAGCTGCAGGGTGACTGACATGCTAAAATAAAAATTGAAACAATAAAGAATATTCATATACAGTATTCAAATACTTGATGAGTGTTAACCTTTCTTTCCCCAACACACTTCACAGTCACTTCAAGCAAGTTGCCTGTTAGAATCCACTCTAATTTGCAGTCAACTAATTTTGTGGCACTATAAATGCCAACTCAGCAAAAATTATTCTCCCCCATTTTCCCCTATGGGCTGAATGGGGTGACCTTGGAGAAATAAAACAGGGATCAGTTGACAGGATAATTGTCAACAACCCAGAAATTGTCTGTTCTGCAACTTGGTTTTGAATTGTTTTCTATGTATAATCATATTTGGTGTTTTGGTGAAAGTTGTTTTACATTTGCTGAGAATTCTGATAAGACTCATGAAAGACTTGCAAATAACCAAGAGTGGCCTTGAAAGGGTTTTAATTCTGGATGCAATGTGGGTGCTGACTACTTTGATCCCCTGGTTTCTCTGCAGACACAGACCTTTCTGACAACTGTCTGCTTTAAGCAGCCAAATTCTGAGCCACAGTTATCTATTTTAGTGTACTCTGGGGGTCTTTTTTTGCAAGGCCTCTTTTTTTGGTGGGTTTAAGGCAATTTGAATGCACAAATGCAAGTTGGGGACAACTTGGAATCTGGCCAGGAGAAAGTTCATCCAGGTGTCACCCCCAACAGTAGTCCAGATTCTCCAAAAACAGTGTTGTTGGTGGTGTTGCTAGCAGGAATCCTGTTGTCTGCCACCAGTGTAGCAGTTCTGTCCACTCTCATACTCACCAGGGACCCTCCTTTAGGAAAGACATGCACAGAGGGCGCTGCAGTCAGCTCAAGCTCATCCTTTGACTCACTTTCCACACTTCACATAATAGTTTTTGTCTATGGGATCATCTTGCGTGAGACACTTTGTCGTAATCTCATTTATGGTACAGGTGGTGCCCTGCAATTTGACTTTTAATATTTTGCAGTGTATAAGAATCAATTTGTGAAGCAGTTGAATTGCAAGACAATATCAAATTATATGTAATAATTTTGAGTCTCTTTGTGGGTCAATAATTGCAGGGCAAGAGGTCAAATTGCAAGTTGACGTTCCAGCAAATTTGATCATGAAATTGTGGGATGTCAAATTGCAAGGTACCACCTGTATATAGCAAAATAATTTGTATAAAATGTCCTTTTTAATTTCTTGGCAGCTTTCATTGCAACATCTCTGGCAGTTTGGGTCATCTTTGGACTTGCCAAGGTGTCAAGTGAGGTCAAGTATGAGCCAGAGACATCTAGTCCAAGTTTCAGGAAACCAGTGAGCCTCAATAAGTGTATTGAGTGTAAAAGGAGTTTCATCCAGGAGGACTCAGGGTCTTCAGAAGACACTTGTTCTTGTCAGGACAGCTCTGCAAAACCAACTGCAGCTGGAAACATCAAGACTAGCACTGAAACTTTCAGCTTCATTCCAGCTTCCAAAGTGACAGAGAGAACCAGTGGTCCATACATTAGCAAGTACTTCAAGTGAGTAAATAGAAAATGGTAAACATTGGAACACTTTATGAAATGCTGAATATATGTTCTTCAGGTCCTCACCACATCCTTGTCCCAGGTGCAACATTTGAAGAGATATGGCTCATCAATCAAAGGCATTTATATGATGATGATTTATTTCTGTTGAAAGAAAATATCTCAAAATCTTTGTCATCATCAGTCAAAGGTGATGAGACACTTGATGGTCATGGTGCTGTTTTTGGGCTTCAGTTTGATTGTGTTTGGAGGCTACAAGTCAATCAGAGTTTATCAGCAGATCACCAGCAGAATGACATCAGCAGAAAAACCTACCTCAGATGACAATAACCAGGACCCCATGTTTTGGATCACCATGTTCCTGACCTTTGCCACAATAGGAGGTTTCAATTTGATTAATTTCCTTCAGAAAAAAAAACAAGTAGAATATTCTATGTGTGTTTTCAAACAGCATTGATCATGACTATGGCTGGAACAGCATTGTATGTGATGGGCCTGAAGAGATTGGAACAGATTCAGGATGAGATTCTGCACAGGGCTGTTGAGAAACAGAGAGATGAGCACCTGAGGAAACTCATGCAAGTTGAACAAGCCAAGTGAGACCCTTTCTTTTTCATAAGCCATCACATTTTTAACATTAACACATTTTTATTAACTTGCTTTCTTGTCCGTTTGTTTGTCTGGATCAAATTTTGCAACTCAAATTTTGCTCACTTCTGACTAGCTAGCAAGCTGAAACTTTCAGGATAGCTTAGAAACTGATGACAATGCAATCTTTTGTGAAAAGAAAAATTACAGTGGTACCTCACAGAACGAACTCCTCGTAAAACGAACGTTCCGCAGAACGAACGTTTTTTTTCCAGGAAAATCATTTTTTTTCACCCTTGTACTACAAACAAAATTCGTAGTACGAACTTTTTTTTCCCCCAAAAAATCTGAAAAATTCAAAAATTCGAAATTTTTTAAATATTTCTATAAAGGCTCTAAAAAAATTGGAAAAATCAGAAAAATCATCCACCATAATTATATTCAATTGAGAAGCTATTTATATTATTTAAGATAGAAAAAATTTTAATTAGCAATCCCAAATTATTTTCAAAAATCCAAATGAATACTGTACCACTTTTTGAGGACTATTTTCTCTACCAGGTTGAAATTCATTAAAGCACTGCATCTGGGGGGGTTTGGCTACAATAAATTAACAGTTTTATTATTAGGTCTCCACTTAAATTTTTAGAGAGAGTAGATTGCAGGTTTAAAAAATATGTGTTTCAATGGGGTTATGCTCAAAGCAAAAAATTCTTTGAAAATTGATTTTACTTTGAGAAAACCCTGCAATTGAAATTATAATCCAGAGGTTTAAAACACAGTCACAGGTTTAAAACATAAATCCACAATTTGGTTCACATTTTGTTTAAGGGGGTTAAGATGTAAGCTAAAAATTCTTTGAAAATGTGTCAGCTTTGAATATTAACCCCTCAGATGCAATTGAAAAATTTGATGTGGTTATGCTCAAAGCAGACACATTTCAAATAATTTTTGCTTTAATCATAACCCCTTGGGAGCAATGTTTTAAACCATCAATCCACATCTTAATCAGCAGATCTGAAGCATCAATCCACATTGATTCAAAGAAGGTTATCCTCAAATCAAAGCTGATTGTAAATGACATTTTCATGTGAGGATTGTATAAGTCCACATAAGAAATGTTTTAAACCAGCAGGTCACAATCTCTAAGAGATCAAAAGGAAAACCTATTTTGAATACTTTTTAGCATAAACTCTTTGGAAGCCATTCTTGACCCTGAAATGCACACTTTCTGAAAAATTGACTTAAAACAACATTTCTGAACATTTTTGGGAAAAATCTAAGTGGAACTCCAATTTAAAGGACAATTAGCATCTCAATATTTTTAAGAAGTGTGAATTGGAGGCTTTAAAAATTATTCTTAAGCAGTTATGATAAAAAAAATCTTTGGAAGTGGGGGTTGCTTTCAGCATAACCCTCTTAGAAACAATGAATGCTTTTTTTTAATCTAAGGGGTTATGCTCAAAGCAACCCCCACTTCCAAAGATTTTTTGCTGTGATCATAACTGCCTAAGAATAATTTTTAAAGCCTCAAATTCACACTTCATAAAAATATTGAGATGCAAATTGTCCTTGAAATTGGAGTTCCACCTGGATTTTTCCCAAAATGTTCAGAAATGTTGTTTTAAGTCAATTTTAGATTTTAAAAAACATTTATTGTTTCTAAGATGGTTATGCTCAAAGCAACCCCCATTTTTCAAAGATTTTTTTGCTGTGATCCTAACTGCTTTAGAATCATTTTAAAGCCTGCAATCCACACTTCCTGAAAATATTGAGATGAAAAATGTCTTTGAAATTGGAGTTTCATCTGGTTTCCCCCCAAATTTTTAAAACTGATGTTCAAGTAAATTTTTCAGAAAGTGTGCATTGCAGGGTAAAAGATGGCTTTCAAATGAGCATAACCACTTAGATTTTTTCAAAATTTATTTTTTCTAAGAGGGTTATGTTCAAAGCAGACACATTTTAAGCAAAATTCTGCTTTGAGCATAACCCCCCTATATAGAGGCAATGTTTAAAATTTTGTGCATTGATGATTTAAATCTGTGGATTTGTTTTACACCTCTTGATCAAAATTTGAATTGCAGAGGCTATGCTCAAAGAAAAATAAATTTTCAAAGAATTTTTGCTGTGAGCAGAGACACCTTGAAACAAAATTTTGAACCCTTCAATCTACTCTCCCTAAAATTCAAATTAAAGTCTAATTTCAAAACTATTTTGCAAAACCCCCTTATGAACAATGTTGGAAGAGATTTCAACTTACAATGCACACATAAAAAGAAAACTGAGTTTAAATCCCATTTTCAAAAATAATTTTTGTCTTAAAATTTTTCAAAACAGTTTGGATCATAGGTTTAATGTTTCACATGTAGGGTAATGCTCAATGAGTGCTAAAATTGCTTTGATGGAAACAAAGAGACGTTTTTGGAATTTTTTTAAATTTTTTTCGAATTTTTTTGAATTTTTCAGAAATTTGGGAACGAATTAAATGATTTCCCATAGAAGTCTATGGGAAATCATGATTCGTAGTACAAACGTTTCATACTACGAACGTAGCTCCAGAACGGATTACGTTCGTAGTGTGAGGTACCACTGTATAAGAATATTTTTTAAAAAGAATAAAATAATTATAGCAGATTGAAAAATTAATCTTAAAAACCACGTTTTTCAAGTAAGACTAAAAAGCACAAAAAAATTTATTAGATTAAAAAATTAATCTAAAAAACCACGTTTTTAGATGCGTTTTGCATCTATTTCATTTGTATTTCACTTCTTCCCAACAATCTCCGTGCGCACCACGTTTAAGGTTATTTTTTCCATTTTCAAAACGTGGTTTTTTAGATTAATTTTTTAATCTACTAAATTTTTTTGTGCTTTTTAGTCTTACTTGAAAAACGTGGTTTTTTAGATTAATTTTTTAATCTACTATAATTATTTAAATATTGGTATGATATTTATGTTTTTCCATTCACAGCATAGCATTGCAGAATTTTCCAAGAACTCCTGGGAATGGTTCCCAAGTGGTCCCTGCCTTCAACAACACTCCTTTTCCAGACTATTACTACCGCTGATCAATTTCAAAAGCCAGGTCACCTTTAGGGGGGTTGATCCTAGCTTTTTTTTTCTTCTTCTGATGCCTCAGGGGATTCAGAAATACAGCTCACTTTCCAAAGACTTTGATAAATTCATTTATTTATATTATTCTCATCATAGGATTTGATGAAGGTTTTATTTTAAACATGGACCAAGAATCTCAGCCTGTGAAGACCAACAAAAATGGGGACAGGGGATTGTTTTTGTTCCTGTGTCCAGCTTTGGGGTCCATTTGTTGTGCTGCAGTTTTCCTGGCCTTGGGAATTGTCATGTTTGTAATTGCATACAATGATTATTGGCATGCGGAAAAGTCTAGTCTCCAGGGCATGAAAAAGTGCTTGCCAAGCATTTCAGACAGAGCAGAAGAGTGGATCCCCATTGGTCTGAGTAACCCAGGGATCCCCACAATTGAGGAAAATTCATTGAATATCATAAAATCTGATTCACATGGTTTTCTTGAAGGTGGGTGAAAGTCTTGAAATATACAGTACAGTACTTGAATTGTATAAGCCAATATTGGAATATGAAGTATGTTTAAATATTTCAGGTATGAAACTCTCACAATAGAATTTTAATTTGGTTCTTGCAATAATGTACTGTTTTGAATGACATACTTGTGAATGAATGAATGAACAGAAAACTTTCATTTGCCGCTTTTCAGCATTCACAAGGCACAACCAAGACTCCCACATCCAAACCCCCTCCCCACCCAATCCAAGTATCCAACTCCCCCAAAGACATTCAATCAATTCAAACCATGAAATAAAGCGCAAACTAATGGCAAAAACAAAAGAGAATACCCCCCACAAAATAAAACTGGAAATCCTACAGGTATGCTGTGTACACCCACAAGATATTGAAGACAAAGCAGCAGTAAAAGTGTATTTAAAGCACAAGGTATTCAGCCTGTTTCTGTATGAGTTTTAGTTCAATGAACAATTTAGAGAGAGTTTTTTTTGTATACTTGTGACATACCCAAAATTCCCAGAAATGTTGTCAGACTTTGAAATATTGGTAATTTTTTTTGCTTTAATGATATAACATACTGATTTTTATATTTCTAGGGCCATCACTGAATGCAAGGATGGAGCAAGAAGTTCATGAAAATACTTCCAATGAAAATCTATTTCAAAGAGTTGCTTGGATGCTTTGGGGAACCATCTCTGTGTTCATTGGTTGTAAGTCATGATTCTTAATAAAATAAAATATTTCAATGCACTTTATTATTGAAAAATTCAATTTAGTGGTACTGGCAGCATCAACAGCTGTCTGGGCATGTTTCATCAGAGTCTCCAAGAAAAAGACTTTGACAACCTCACAAGTCACCATTGTTTGATGATGTTGGACATGTTTTTCTCTACTATATGGCATGTGAAATGAATAAATGTGTATTAGCGATTTGGGCATTTCAAATGTATTATACATGGATACAACAGTGAATAAAACAAATAAGGATTAAAACAACAAGCATTGGTCAAAGTTATCCAATGGGATTGGATGCAGATCTGTTTAGGATGGCATTCCTGATGGCCCATCTGCCTTTCCAGAGACCAACATTGTCATCCAAGTAAGAAGCAGACACATAACCATGGAAAATGCATTTCCTGTCCTTCTCTGGAAATGCTGGGAATGCACAAGCAGCTTCCTTGTCCACAAAATCATGAGATTTCAGCACCTTTGGATAATTGTTGAAAATAAATATGAAATAAAGCTGAAAAAAGGCTTAAAACATTTTTGGTGTATGCTGATGCACATTCAAAAAGCATAAATTAAGTGAATCATAATTTGATACATGCACTTTTAAAACTGAATTTTAAATAAATCTGATGGGAATCACTGAATGATGCATTCATTATCAAGTATAACACATATTCTGAATACAAATATACTTTCTAAAAATTTCAGACAAATTGCCACTTTTGCTAAAATAAATTAGTTCAACTTTTAGTTCTGAGAATCCTTTCTTCAAACCCCCTTTTTAATTAAAAAACATTTCATTTTATAGCTGCTTCATTGGTTCTGAACTTAATTTAAGCAAAAAAGCTGACTTTTTAAATATCTGCCATAAAGTCTTTCAAATAACTAAACTTTTTTGAGTCTGCAAACAATTCTGTAAAACTTTGCCTGTTTGTAGAAAATTTTCTAAACCATTCCAGGGTTTCATGTATAAAGGAGGGACTTCAGTTTGAAAATGCTCACTGTGCGGAAGTAGCTGGCTTCTCTATACAACATGTAGGTGTCGCGCATGGTTGCCCACTGCTGGTATGGTACAGGACTCAATGGTGGCAAGGGTCCCTCACAATTCATCTCTTCCATGTTGTCAGGTGCTCTAGGGAAGTGGGGTCCTCGCAATTGCAGGTATTCACAGAGTGCCACAGATGCCCAGGATGCTGCAGATAGCTCATGATCCAGCTCAACTCCCAATCTTTTAAATGTTGTCACAGTGAAAGGCAATTGTTGTCATGAATTTAATTGTTAATTTGTTAACAGGTATTGAGCAACTTATTCAACATTTATACTTGAAAGAATCCCTCCCAGAAATAGCGTTTTTTGGTGGAAAAGTTTTTCGGACAATCACTTCAAGAAGATAAAGGTTAGCAATATTCTAGGTCTCAGGCAGGATGCTGAATATAAAAAATAAGAAGACCTATATTGCTTGATTATAGTCACCCACTTCTGTTTAAAGAGCACAATTTATATCCTTCCATTTATTTAATAATTCTGACCACCATTGCTGTACAAGTGGCACCTTGGAATTTGACCCTATGCATTCCCAGACCAGGGTTGAATTGCAAGCAGTCAAATTGCAAGACACTTTGTATAATTGAAAAATATCAGCACAAAAATTAGAAAAAGTGGCCAAAGTAGGTCAAATTCTGGGGCAGAGGTCAAATTGCATGTCAACCTTTCCAGAAATTTGACCCTAAAATTTCAGAATGGTCAAATTGAAAGGTCAAGCCATAAATTTCTTCCAACCATATCTGCCAACAATAAAATCATACTTGGCAGCAAAATTGGTGCATTTGGCAAACTCCACACCAAATAGTCCATAGGCTGCCCTCAAGATGTCACTGCCCAAATTGCTCATCATGTTGCCAACTGGAGACACCCCTGACCTCTTGGCACTAAAAGCAGAGATGCCAACTTGCAAAGGCAAATGCAAGACCTCAGTTGCATCTTTGACAGATCTACACACTGTCAACGCCTTTTGACACATGGAAAAAAAGCATTCATCCCTGGATTATTAGAAAGGGAATTTTCAAATTTATCAACTTACTTTGTGATGCAATAACCTCCTCCTGTCTTTCAGTGGTCTCAAGCAATCCATTATGCGCTTGTACTCTTTCACCCAACAGTCAATCTGATCTTGAGCACCTTGTACAAGCTTTTTCAAAGAATAATATTTGTAGATGTTTTAGATATAACAAATGAGAATTGCATACTGCATTGTATTTACTCACTCCATTGTAGACAGCATCAGAACAGCGTTGAGCCTCATCAGCCTCCTCAGTAGCCTGCTGCAAGATCTTTCTCAACAATTTGAGTTCCAAGGATACTTTGGATCTCTCACACCACACTTCTTTGGTCAACAAATGAATGTAGTTTATCTTGGTATCATTGGGGATCCCATAAATGGCAGCTCCCTGTATTGGGGAAATAAAGATGTAACCAGTTCATACCTCTTCATATAATGCAAGAAAAGACCCCCATGAACCATTTCTGGTGGGGGAAAAAGTGCGTTATTGCATAACAAATTTTCTTCACATTGCATGAATTTCAGCAAGTTTTAGATTTGAACTTGGAAACTTCAATGTTCAAATCAAGTCACACTTTGAAAAATAGCAAAACAAAGAGCACCAATCATTCCTTAAATAATTCCAGAACGCTGAAATCTCCAAATTTCCAAGATTATTTCACATGTTTATTGAGTATCTGGAGCAGTTCAAATGTGTTACTTTATTAACTTGAGGAAAATCATGGTTCAAATATAAACTATACTTTGCACAACAAATTTCATCCATAAAAAGTACAGTCAACCCCCATCTAACAGACTTGATTTGTGCAAGGGACGAGTCTGTTAGATGAAAAGTCCTTTACACAAATTCAATTACATAAAAAATTAAAAATTTCTATTTTCAACACTAATTTTAAACCAATAGAAGTCTGTTTGGCAGATTTTGTNGTGCAAGGGACGAGTCTGTTAGATGAAAAGTCCTTTACACAAATTCAATTACATAAAAAATTAAAAATTTCAATTTTCAACACTAATTTTAAACCAAAAGAAGTCTGTTTGGCAGATTGTGTCTGTTGGGCAGGAGGAGAAACTGCTTGCAGAGCTGGTCTGTATGGCAAAAATCCCTTACACAGGAGGTCTGTTAGGCGGGAGGCCACTGTAGTTTGATTATGAGGAGACCCACTATTAATCTAGCAACAATAATCCTAGAATTGCAATGAAAGACTTGTGAAATGTTCAAAGCGGAGTTCATGCTAGCATGTCTTAAAAATATTAGAAAAATAAAGTAACAACTTATTCTCAGGGTATAAAAATGTATGCCTGGTTTAAAGGAAACTAATATAGAAACCTTCTCTTCTAAGGCACATCTGATGTCAACCACAGCCTTATGCTCCACTTCATCCATAATCTTTCCAAAAGTGCACAAGGCAATTCTGTCAGAGTTTGGTTCTGGTCCCAACTTTGCATTGTCCAAAAACTCTTGCACATTGTCAGGAAGCTATGAATTAAAGATTAATTTTCTTATATGAATCAACATTGAAACCACTCATGGGGTATTTTGTTTCACACCTCAAGTGGAGACCTGGAAATGGTCTTGGGTTTAGAAACAGATGGTGTTCCAGGTTGTTCTCCCCTCCTCCAATTTCTATGATTGTTCAAGAACTGTTCCATAAAGTCCTTCTGCCAAGCCTGGATTCCTTCCACACCAACACACATTTTCTTTCCATCTGGTTGAGGACCCTGGAATAAAATCCAATGATCACAAACACATCAAATGAGGTGAGAATCATGTTTCTCACACAATCTGGTTTGGCAAGTGGAGTGCAAGGCATGTCCAGAGAGTTGTCTGCTGGTTCTGGAGGTACTTGGCAGTCTTCAATAACACATGGTTTAGAGCTTGGTGGACATGAAGGTCTGGGATTTGGACATGGGGCACTAGCTTTTTGTGGCTTATTAGCACAAAGGCCTTCAAGTCTGCGCCTGGCTGCACATGCTGCCTCCAGCCTGGCCTATATATAAAACCCCCCAAATACCTCCCAAACATATAAAAACAATTGATGGTAGGATATGAGGTAAGAAAAGAAAAGAGAACCTGTTGGATGTCCTTGGGATTGCAGACCTCAGGCCTGAGTCTCTTGTGTGGTGGACACTTGCAGGGATTCATCTTTGGACACTTGCCACAGGTTTTGGACTTTGGGGGACATGATGGTGGACAAGGAGGTGGGGGACAGCATGGTGGAGGTGGACATGGTGGTGGTGGACAAGGTGGTGGTGGACATGGCTTAGGACAAGGGTCCACTGGTGCTGGACAAGATGGTTTAGGTTTTGGTTTGGATGAACACTGCTTCTTCTTTTTCTTGGCCTCTGGGCATGCTGGTGGATCAGGGCAGAGTTTCTTGAGTTCTGGGGGTGCATCTGGGCATCTGGGTGAACAGTCCACAGGAGGTGAACCATCACACTTTCCTCCATGCTTCCTGAGGCTTTCATCACTGTTATAATGAAATGAAACATTACATTAGGATTGGCTGAAGAACAATGTGAATGATATGGAGATACAATACAGGTGGTTCCCAAGTCCCAACAAATTAACCCCAAATCCGGGTTAAATTGTGAAGTCGTTAAATTGCATTAAAACTTGAAATTCCAAGTTTTCTACATTGAATTAGACATTTTGAAAATTTTTGTCTTTCAAAATGCAGGGAAGATTATTTATTATCACAGGAAAATTTGACCATCAAATTTTGGGATGAACGACAAATTTTGGGTTGTCAAATTGATGAACATATCCAAAGCTCACCAACTTTATTGAAGTTTAGGTGATGGTATAAATATAAATTGCTTAAGCTGAGAAACAAATTTGTATGAACATTATCCATCTGTTACTGGTTACTTCAAGCATTCAAAATACCGTAAACTCAACCCCTTGCACTTAATTTGCACTTAATGGACTTAATTTGTGCAACAGACTATAGTTTGTTATACAGGAAGTCTGTTGTGCAAATTCCATTGTTAAAAAATTAACATTTTTACTTTTTGCCATCAATTTTAAACCAACTGAAGTCCATTATGCAGATTTAGTCCATCCCACAGGAGGAAAAATGTGTTGTGCAAAAATCCATTGAGCAGGAGGTCCTCTGTGCAGGGGTTGACTTTATTTACCTTTAATAGCCTTGAAACTAATTTACCATACCCAAGTATTGTACTGAAGTACCTAACCTTTGCAAAAACCAT